CAGCTCCAGGTTGAGCTGTTGTTCAGCATCTTAGCTGTGGAGGGCAGTGTCACTGGCCCTCATATGTGGGATCTGAACCGGGGCCCTCTGACATCCCAAGCCAGTTCTTAACCATCGCACCACTCAGCTGGCCCAACTCTTCGATTTTATTATTAGGGTTTTGCCTTCCATTTTCCTTACCATTTTTTATAAGTTCTTTCGTGTAAGCCCAGCTCCACCCAGCCCTCTCAGCCATTCTGAGCCTCTGGGTTTTATTCCTTCTCTATCTCATGTGTAAACCAGAAAATGTGAAATGGGGAAGTCAAGCAACTGCCAAGATTCGTGAAGGTAGAACGCAGGTCCAGTTTTGCTCACCCCTTATGCCCATCCCCTCTCATTGTCCCTGACACAAAGTGGGTGTGCAGCTCAATTGGATGGTAATAACCCAAAGGTACCGGTGGAGCGGTATCATAAGGCATGGGACATTTTTTGGCTACCTTTGTACCAAGGATAGTTTGGCCCCCATTCCTCTCCAAAGACACTATGACCCTGTTATTTAACTTTAATATTTGTTTTTTACTCCCACAGTCGGGTAGTTATAAGGACCTGGGTATGGGACTGGATGGAGTGCTCAGAGGACTGAATCACATAGAACACCCCAATCCGAGTCACTCGGTTGATCCTGGAATGTCTGGGAGGGTGGGGGAGGGGATTGGGAAATGAGAGGGTAGGTAACAATTTTTTAGTAGATTAACTAAGAAATAAACATAAATCATCCTTATCTTTAGACTCATAATTAATTATTTTTAAATAATAGCTTAAGATATAATACACATGCCATAAAATTCACCCTTAAAGTATACAATTCATCGGTTTTAATTATAATGAATTTTTAACAGCTTTATTAGATATACTTCACATACCATAAAACTGAGTTCTTTAGTGTACAACTCAATGGCTTTTAATATACTCATAGTTTTGCAACTATTACCACATTTAATTTTAGAACATTTTCATCACCCCTAAAAAGAAACCCTTTAGCCATCACTCTCTAATATAATTAATTTTTAATGATAGAAATTATCAAAACAAAACTAGCAAGAGTTAAAACAAAACATAGTGAAATCTAACATGACAATAATTCACATTGAAGATTAAAAAAACGATTGACCTATGAGAAAAAAAACACTTTTTTTTTCAGAGGTAATTAACTAAAATAAAACTTTTCAGAGGTAATTAACTAAAATAAAAGTAATAAAGTCTAAAACTTTACTGACTGAAAATTGATAGGAAGAAAATTGTATCTTGACAATAATCTAGATCTGGAAGACATGACCCAGAGGGAAAAAAAATGAGTTTGAAAAACATGATTCCCTGAAGAGAAGACTCACGTTGGGAAAAACCTGATCAATAAAATGTGATAAGGACAAAAACAAACTTGATTGGTAAATCAAATCCTGATTGTAATATGTACTTAGAAAATAATTGATCTCAATGAAAATAATTTCAGTATATTAAAAATGAACGTAAAATACATTAGAAATTATCTAGTTGTGCTTATAGGAATTATAATTGTGCTGAATCAGGAATTAATTTAATGTGGTTTGATTCAAAAGATACTTTCGTTTTTAAAGAGTTTGTATATTGTTTCAGTGGATTCACAGGTATAAAATTCAAACTGTGAAAAATGATCATGTGCTGTGCTAACAGGAGGTACATAAATAGTTGGTAAAGCCAGTATTTTGAGCAGATAGAGAACTTCTCCAGGTACAATCAGTAAAATCTTGTTTGATCTGTTTGACCTTAAATTGTTTTTGTGGCAGGACCTCAAGGGCGAGAAGGGTGACAAGGGAGCCATGGGCAGACCAGGACCTCCTGGACCCTCAGTAGGTCGTTTAGCATCTTGTTGTTCCTTTGAAACATAAAGCAGAGCCTTGGTGCATATTTTAATGTATGATCTACCTCTACATATTAATATTAGCTAAAGCATGATGGGATTTGACCGCAGAGTTCATGACTAGACTAGAATTACTTTATGGCCACTTCTAGCTGAAATCCTTGCACGGTTTACACGCACCCAGTGTCATATTTTGGAATTTATCTTCAGCATCTGTGTTTTTTTAGCATGTTTTTAAATTAACACTCATAATATTTCCCACCCATCATTTCAACATTTTTAAATGTAACCAAATAATTGGAAGGGGAAAGTTAATAAAAATCAATATGTCAAAAATCAATAATTCATAAAACTTGACATACCTCTCATTAATACAGGGACCACCTGGAGAATCTTACGGATCAGAAAAAGGTGCTTCTGGAGAACCTGGCCCACAGGTAACTTGGGAAATTCGGTGTCGTGTGCAGCCTCTGTTAGTATTTAGGACTCATTAGGTGGCAAATATATAAGATGCCCAACTCAAACTAGGTTCCTTTTTTTTTTTAATTTTAAAGACTTGGGAAGTAGAATTTATTTGTTCAAGTAACTGAGAAGTTCAAGGCTAAAACAGGCTTCAAGGACCTAAGAGCCTGAAACAATACAGGCAGGATTCTGCGCTTCACTCTGCTCCCCACTGTGTGTCAGCCTCATTCTCTTCTTTGACAAATGATCTTCTTCCATGTAGAGGGTGATGGAAAAAAGAGCAAGATGTAGCAACAGACAACAGGTTAACGGTATCTGAGGAGAGAGTGCGTGTCTCCCTGTGTCCATGTATAAAATCCCACAGAATCACTCTGACTGGGCCAGTTTGGGTCACATGTCTCATGCTGGAAAAGTGACTGTGGCCAGGAGGGAAAAGCACTGATTGGCCAGGCCAGTTGGGCAGGGGATACTGTGGCTGACAGCCCCACCGAACCACACGGAGTGAGGGAAGGAAATGGGGCACGCTGTGATGAGAAGTGGGGGGCTGGGAAGATAGAACAGCGGCCCTCTCTTCCAGCCAGCTCTCTTCTGGAAAGATTTAAATACACATATTGTCTGAAAACTCTAAAAATTATACACTTGGAAAAGTATATTTTTTTTATAAAAAATATTTTTCAACCAATTTGATTTTTAATTTTATCATGGTGGGTAAATACCATAACAGTGAATCCAAAAGCCCTGTCTGTTTGGACAATGCAATATACCTCTTCTACATATATTTAAACAGAGGCACATCTGGAGTTCAGGGAATTGCCAACATTTCAAATAAATAAATGGGCGGCGACCACCTCCCTCTTTCTGGGTTTCCTTGTTCGCTTCTGGGCTCGGCACTTCCTTCCTCTCCCTTCTACACTGAGCTGGGCAGCATCGACTCTCCTTTATGCTTGGCTCTTAATTTCCTCTCTTTCTTCCTGTGCTCCTCCCTAAGTCCCCATTCTGACTTGTTTCCCCCTTCCCTGGCATGAGAAGGTCCTTGCGTGTTCTGTGAATAAGTTTTTTCTCCTCTTAATAACCGAGTGAGGAAACTCAGTCAGGCTTTGTTGCCTGAGGCCAAGAGGAAATGATTATATCATTAAAGCTTTTCATGTTTATTAAAGTTATCCATAGTCAATAAGTGACATGTTTTTTTGTTTTTATTTTAGGGAAAACCTGGAAAAGATGGTGCTCCTGGTTTTCCTGGTACTGAGGTAAAGACAGGGTTTGCCACAGGTATAGTGAAAATGTCAGTCCTATTAGATCAAGAGGGATTTTTGAGAGTCCCTCTTTTTTTAGTTTTTTCTTTTTTTTCGTTTTTTTTTTCAGTTTTTAAAAATTACATTTGAGAAACATAGTTTCACACTATGAAGAAAGGTCAACTGAGCACATTTTTTTTTTCAAAATAAGGTCAAACTGTTGTGCTTCCTGCAGAAGAAACTGACTCGTGTGTCTTCTGACCCATTTCTCTGCTCTGTTGTTTAGGGAGCCAAAGGCAGCAGGGGCTCCCCCGGGTTAACTGGTGAGGATGGCATGAAGGTAATCCCCTCCCTCGTGTCTTCTCTTCAGGCTTTTTCAATTGGCTGGGTTTTGCCCACCCTTTTTCCCACACACACCCTGGAACGAGGTACAAGGAATTATAATCAGAGTTCGTTAAAATACCTTCATATATTTAAGAAGAAATAACAGATGTGGCAACCTTACTTAAACACTCAAAGTGCAGTCTTTTGCGTGTTCTATGTCATAGAAGCGGGCTGACTTAGGACCAGTGAGCTTTCAGCTCCCCTTCAGGAAGGAGTTGGAAAAGGCCTGCAATCGTAGGAAGTTTCTGGTCACTGGAGGTCAAGCGGAGGCTGGGTGAGCCCCACGAGTCTCAAGCTGGGTCACTAAACACTGAAAGGTCATCATCAATTAATTGTGAAGTGTATTTTATGTCGTTTCTTTCTGACAACATAACGACAGACATTTTCCAATAATTTTTATATGTAGGGATAGGTGCAAATTCAAGGTTCATCCTATAATAGTATCACTTCCAGTAGAACTCTGAAATACCTTCCTGAGTAGGCAAGAAAGAGGGGTAGTTACAGCTGGGTCACTGGGAACCCCGTAAGACCCACAGCCTGCTTTTCCTGAGCCTCTCACCTGGGTGAGAGCTCGGCAGTGTGCAATGCACGTGAACATTCTTGGAAGATAGTGGTGCGGAAGAAACGTGGAAAAACACCAAACAATAGCCCTTTCTTCAGGACCTGGTGGATAGGATTCTTGACCCTGATACAGCCCTCCAGGAAAATAATCTGAAGTCAATACCCCTCTCGCTTTAACTTTTCTGCGTTACATAGAAAAACCACATTACTTTAGCATTGATTTATGATTAAACTGTGCATTTTGCTTCTTAATATGCTTTTAAATACATGAATACTTTTGTTTAATGTATGTACTCATAATTTGTAACTGTTTTTTCACCACAGGGGTGGAAAGGGGACATCGGCCCTCCAGGATTTCGTGGTCCAGTAAGTATAATTAAAGACAATATCAATGTCACATTTGATCAAGTCCTTCAAAGTGTCAAGGAAATTTTGAATCAATGTTTCTCAATAACTGTTATGATAGAGATTATAGTATTTACCTGTTCATCAAACCAGGGCAAAAAATAGCTGTTGTCATTATTTGTCCATTTGAATGGACAAATATTTCTATTTCATCCTAGTTGGTGCCTGGAATGCACTAGTAATGCCCATCGCGGGCTGTGGAGAGGAAGAAAACCTTTGTCTAGTCAGACCTAGCCCAAGGTGATCCTGCATCCTGAGTAGAGAAGGGCTGCAGTGGAGGGCAGCTGGCCACCCAGGGGTGAGGGAGCCAGCTCTACCCTCTCCAGCTGGGCCCGGTTAGGACAACTACTGCACTTTCAGGAAGCAGGAACACAACCATGGGTTTCATGCAAAGCCAGCAAAAACCAGTGACCTCAGCCCAAGCTCTATGACGATAGGCAGTCTCCCTTCTCCAACAAGAGCATGGATTCAATGGCTGTCAGGAGGGCCGGCCGAGTGGCACATTGGTTAAGAACTGGCTTGGGACACCAGAGGGCCTCAGTTCAGATCCCACATATGAGGGCCGGTGACACTGCCCTCCACAAAAAAAAACAACCAAAAAACAAAACCAAACCTCAATGGCTGTCAGGAGTAAACGGGACCCAGACTCTGAATGCTGGTACCTGTTCCTCTCCCGTCTCAAAAGACAGTGGTTCTCACATGTGGCATGTGTTCAGCAGGGCTGCCATTTATGATTGTGCAGAACAGTCCATGCTGGCAGGAAAGTCATGAGGATGGGGGAGGGGCGTCCTGTTATGCAGTCCTCAGACCAGGTAATTGACCTCACTAACCAGGCAGGGTCTTGAAAATGTGCGTCTTTACACTACAAGCAAATGATTCAGAATCAAGTAGTCCCCAAAAAACGTTTATGCAGTTGCCAGGAAAATGAAACGCACTATTTTGTGAAAGCACTTAGCCTAACACCTGGCAGGTACACACACACACCATTATGGATTTTATGATGGAGGTTATTGCATTATTATGGTTGTTATTATTATGAATTCTTCTTTGTGATTTTATACATATTGCTTCACCATAAAGCTCTTGTTACTTCATCTTTAAACAAGTCAACAAAGTCATTGTCCCCATACAGCATATGAAAATACAAAACAGAGTTTTTTAAACTTTTATATTTTCATCTTCTTTCCTTCAAGATAAATGTGTTGAATTCTCACTGGTATCTACTTGCCAGATGTACTTCCGAGGAATTCTAAGTATTTCTACCTTACTGTGTGTTTTCTTTTGCTCAGTTCTATGTAACTCTGCAGCTTCTCCTAACTTCAGAGGAAGTTCTGCTTAGGAAGTAGATAGTCAAGGAGACCAGGTCCACTGAGCATGTCAGAAAAAATAGTCCTCGATCATTGCAGGTGTTTTGAAATTTAAAGAAACAGTCATACAATATGTATGTTTTGATGTGGGTGCCAACATACTCTGAAATAAACTGAGTCCATCATGACAAGAATTTTTAAAAAGTGAAATAGAATAGAATAAAAAAAATCAGAGTTGATCATGTGGTAAGTCACTATTTTGTGAAACTTAATATCTGTACACATCATCACACATACATAGATACAAGGTGTAATCAAACAATACCATGAATGTTGAAATAAAAAAACTTATTACGGTAAAAGACACATTGCATTAATCCCCCTCCAATTACTCCCCCTCACTTTGAGCATACTTACCCCTGTTTTTGCCACTTTCTGAAGCAGTTCTGGAAGTCCTCTTTCATGAGTGTCTTTAGTTGTGCTGTCGTGGCTGCCTTAATGTCCTGAATTATTTTAACATGGAGCATTGTCATGATGGAGAATAACTTACAGCACACTTGAAAACACACCTTCTCTCAACCATAGCTCACACCCGATTGGCTGCACCGAACAAGCTGAAACTTATCACACACTGTTACTAAGGTTCGACATGCTGCATCCCATATTGAAGAACCCTGCGTTTCCATTGGATGGCACTCAGCTACAGCATTCATCATATTTTGTGATCACAACAGAAAGGCTCCGTGTCATACATTGCTTCAGGTATACGGCAATTTCTGTCTAATAAAAACATTACGGTGTGTCCTCATCCACGTTATTCACTGGACCTGGCACCATGTAACTTCAGGCTCTTCCCCAAAGTCAAAATGATTCAGAGCATCGAGATAGCCACGACAGAGCAACTAAAGACACTCATGAAAAAGGACTTCCAGAACTGCTTCAGAAAGTGGCAAGAACGATGGGATACGTGTGTTCAAAGAAAGGGGGAGTATTTTGAGGGGCATTAATGGCAATGTGTCTTTCAGTGTAACAAAATTTTTAAAATTGAAACAGTCACCGTATTATTTGATCACACCTCGTCTGTATGTATGTGTATGTGCATATCAATGTGAGTGTGTCAGCTGAGTCACACCATAAAATGTATTTCTAATTGAAAGCTTGTGGAATACATGATATCATGGTACCAGGAACGTCAGCTTTTATCTTTAAATGTATCCATCCCAAACACATGACTGCCATATTTCTGCTAACACATAAACCTAAGAATTGAGGGAAATAGGGAAAGTGTCAGTTTGGCCAAAAATAAGAAGAAATTGAAGTAACTGCATTTGATGAGATGTTCATAAACAGCTATCCTTTCTCTTTCTTCATTTTTTCCCCCCTTTAAGACAGAATATTATGATGCATACCAGGAGAAGGGAGATAAGGGCATTCCAGGCCCCCCAGGGCCCAAAGGAGCTCGTGGCCCCCCGGGTGAGCATCAGTTTCTTCCTTAAGAATTTGCTGGTCATTTCCTTGTCTTTCTTTCAAGGTAATGTCTATATGTGCTGGTAGACCTAGAATTTTCAGGGGGAAAGAAGGTCTCCTAATTTTCATGGACGGTGGTATTTTTTTAGTGTCTCCTAATTTTCATATTTCATAATAAAATTTCCCATAGAAGGTAATTAAATTATCTTTGTATAGGAAAGCATGAAATTCAAGTCTGACAAGCATGGTCAGAGGGCAGGTGAGGGCGTGTAAGAAATCTGAAATCAGGGCCGGCAGAGTGGCTCAGTTGGTTAAGAGCTCACTCAAGAGTTTGAGCTCTGAGCAACAGCAGTTCGAGTCCAGCCCGAGCTGAGCAGCCGCTGAGCTGCCAACAGGTAGCAGGATGGCTCAGCTGAAAAAAAAAAAAAATCTGAAATCACAGCGGGATGACAAAAGTGAAAACGGAGACCCTGAAAAGCTGGAATTTGAGCAAAGCCACACAAATAGTGACAAGGGGGGACTGAACCCCTGGTTTCCTGATTCCTGGCACCGTGAATTAAAGACATACTTACTTATATTCTCTCCCTTTTCATAGATGGGAAAAGTCCAAGCCAATGCCTCATCTCTGGCTACACACTAGGACCCCCAGAACTTTTAAATGATGACCATGTCAAAGTCCTATCCTTGTGACTTTGATGTAATTGTCTAAAGCAGGGCCCTGTATACTAGCAGATCGTAAAAGCTCCTTAGATTATTGTAGTATGCAGCAAGATTGAGAACCACTGATCTAGGCAAATTAGTGATATCAGCAAGATTTCCAAGGAGTTTTCATAGTGGAAAACTTCCCAGTGCATTTAAATAACTGGACAGATAAGTATAGACATAGATACAGATTTTTTTTTTATGCAATGTTAGAGCTAGAAGTAATCTGAGATGGAAGAATGGGCCAACCTCCAGGTCCTGGACAATTTCAGCTGTTTGATTTTCTTGCATCCGAACCATCAGTTTGGCAAAGTGCCAAACACAGAGCAGCCTCTTGGTGAATCCCTCAGAATTACCTGAAAATGAGAAAGTAGCATGATTCACTTTTGAGTGTGAGACAACCAAGAGCAGTGTCTTCTCTGTTGTTTCTCTAAATAAGCTAAGTTTTCTGATCTTAATCTAGGTGAGAGTGGAGAAAAAGCACTAAAAATATTTATTATTAATTATTATTATATTGTCACCCATGGAGTCAAAAATGGTGGGGAGGAGAGTGTTTGTTATCTTCATGAGCCATTAATTACTGCTATGTATTTCTAGGTCCTACGGGCCCTCCCGGAGTTCCTGGAAGACCTGGTATGTACATGTTTCTCTGGGTAGCAATCAAAATGCAATTAAAAAAGAAAAAAACACTGCTCTCCAGTAAGTTTGCATTGTTTACATAAGGCAAACCTGTCATTAATTGGTATAAAAGTGTTTGTAAATTCTTGTTAACTTTGTGACCTGCAGTGGAGGAGGAGGTGGAAGCTGACACGGTGTTACAGAAATACTCTTTTTACTTCTCAGTGGTTTTAACTAAGTGTAAGATGGTGACTTTGGTGCATAAGCAGACGCCCAGAAAAATTCAGAGGTGCAGAGATAGAAAATAACAGTTTTATGGTAATTAGTTTGGCTGAAAATGACAGTTTTCATAATGCATCACAAGTTGCATAAGAATTCATAGATCATACTTTTTATGTAAAGTTTTAAAATTTATAATATATCATTTATGGGTACATAGACAATTCCATAAAGTGTAGAAACATCCATGAATCACTAGAATAGTTGCCTCTTGAAAGCAGAAGGAGAATAGGATTAAGGATGATTCCACTGTGGCCTGAGTTATAACTGTAATGCTATAATGTGTCATCCTGTAAAGGAAAGGAAAATAGGGAAAAAAATAGCAAAGACTTGAGAAGCCCTACCATTGGTTGTATTTTTCTCTATACCATGTTGAATATGTAAGCTATTTCATAATTTTGAAAATGAATTATAATTAAGCGGCTTGAAGAATGATGTATATATTATAATCCCTTTTTAAAAACTGATGAATGGGTAAATATTGTGTATACTTGTGTATGCAAGGGGATATATACATCAAACGGTTGACAGTGGGTATCTCTTGAAATTGCATTGGGGTGAAAGGTATTTTAGAGGTCTGGCCAAAGATTGCAGAAGACTTCCTTCTCCCTACCAGGCCCCTGAGTAATGATAAGCTCCTTTAAGAAGCCAGTGAGTGAAAATTACAAAGCTCTAAAGCAGTGTCAATCAGAGGCATTTACCTTTATGCCAAAATCCTTATGCTCAAGAATCAGAAATAATCAGATGTTACCCCTGCTATTTTCTCAGCCCTTTCATGGTAAGGCCTCTCACCTTAGCAGTTAAACAGTTTTCAAGGCAAGGATTCAAGACTGTCTCCCTCCTCACATCCTCATTATCTTAAGAGGGACAGATGAAACGGGTCTTGTACCACCGGGCACAGCTTCTCTCCCAGGAGGTGCCTCCCCCCACCACCACCACCACCACGGCCTTTTATAACTAAGACAATTGGCAGGCATAAAGCCCAATTACAACTTTCTCTGTTACTTTTGGACACTGAAAGGTATGCACCTTCTAGTCTCTAATAAAAATAAATAAATAAATAAATACAGGGCCGGCCGAGTGGCACAATGGTTAAGAACTGGCTTGGGACGCCAGAGGGCCCCGGTTCAGATCCCACATATGAGGGCCAGTGACACTGCCCTCCACAGCTAAGATGCTGAACAACAGCTCAACCTGGAGCTGGGCTGCCGTGAGTTGCCGGCGACGGCGTAGGCTGCAGCCCCTGCTGCAGTGGGTTGCCATGGGCTACCGTGTGTAGCCAGCAGCCAGCGTGAGCGGCCAGCAGCCACAGTGAGCGGCCGTCCAGAGGCCAGCGATTGATCTGCCTCGCCCGGGAAGAGAGCAATGATGGTGCCAACTTGGGCCAGTGAAGCAACGTCCTCCACAACTAGACTGAAGAACAAAAACAACAGCAACTTGTCTGTTTCCCCTTCCCCCAATTCCCCAATAAAAATCTTTAAAAAACAAAAAACATACAAAATAGCATATATTGAATAATTTCTCATGAAGTCCTTTTAAATAAAAAGACGATGGTGCATCCCAAGCCCTGTTTCAGTCCCTTGTAATAAACGACATGTTACTTTGTGGGCATGGAGTGTGCTGTAGTAATTTAACAAGGTCCCAGGTGAAGGAAGGTCTTCACTTCTTATTTCATATGCTTTATATACCTCTCACTTGTGCAACTTTTATAAATCAGAATACATCACATTTTGTAATTGAAAAATAAACATATATTAATCAGGAAAAAAATTGTAAATACAATGAAATGATTCTTTTCTCCAAGGGTCATCAAAGGCTGGCCTGAGAGGAGCTCCTGGACCACCAGGCGTGAAAGGGAGTAAAGGAGAGCAAGGACCCCCAGGAAAGAACACAGCGGGGTCTCCCGGGTCCCCAGGTTGTCCTGGTCCTCCAGGCCCTCCAGGACCGCCGGGATCTCCAGGACCGCCAGGTAAAGAAGCCGAATGGGGCCCCTTTTGTGTACAGCGCCCAGTGACATATGTGTACACACCAGACAGAGGTCCTGGACCTTACCTGAAGCGTGGCCATCGGCCTGCGTGGAACTTCCAAGTTAGCTTGCCTTTGGTGTTTCATTGTATAAGCTACCTGTGAAAGCAGCTCTGGTGGCATGACTGTTTTGCAAGTGCAGCAAAGCTTTTAGCCTGAGTTCCCACAGGTGGCAGAGCAGGAGGCAGGGATAAGGGCCATAGAGCAGGAAAGCAGGGATGGTTATCAAGTGGGTGGAGGCTAAGAGCAACCGCCTGTTCAGTCCCTGGAAACTGTCTTCTAAGAAGCTGTGCAACTTTGTCTCAGGATAATATGTCCCAGGGAAGAAAGGGGGAAGAATGTATCCATCGAGTCCTATTTCTCTGGGGTCACAGATGTGCTCCCATGGGACTAGACTAACCACCCCCACACACTTCTGGGATGGGTTTGCCTAGCTCCCAGGGCATCCCATGCCTTGTCAGCAGGGAAGCCCCAGGACAAGAGGCCAGAGGTGTGCAGTATAGTTACGGGGCAAGACGCTACCCTGTGAGGTGGGTCGGAGACCAGAGAGCTGAGGCCCAGAGGATTTGAAGTGGTACCTGGAGGTTCTGATGCTGGTGTCATTTCCTCTCTGACTCTCTAAAGAGCCATTTAGCTGATAGATACACAGAACCTGTGAAAATGTTGGTCACCCTTTGTATTTTAAGTACCTTTACTGGCAGGAGCCTGAGAAGGCTTTAGCTTAATACTCAACCCTCCTAATAGCCTTGAGAATCTTCTAGGTGTCAGGGATTTTCTGAAAGAAAAGAGACATTTACAATTGTTATGATTATAAACCTAGAAAATCCAAAAGAACAATCTGGAAAAGTCTTAGCATTACTAAGATAATTCAGTTAAGTGTCTGGTTATGTGAGCAATATTTTTAAAAGATACGAGTTAGGCCAATAACAATTTAAGAAATTGTCCCATTAATAAAAAGATATAATGTCCAAGAACAAACCTGGCAAGCTATGGTGTAGACCTATGTAGAAAACAAAGCAAAACTAAGCTAAACTAAAACTCTACTATGTGCCAGAGATTTTAACAATTGCTAGCCCTCCAACTCTTTTTCAAGATGTAGGTTGTGTCCTCATTTTATGGATGGCAAGCCTGATGAGCTCCATTCTTGGACTTAATGAATGCTAAAGTCGGCATCTGGACCTGGGGTGCCTGCAGGGGAACAGTCCCTCTCCCCTCAGACTGCCCTGGTTTCCTCTCTTCTCTTGTCTAAGCATCTCCTGTCTGTCTGTCCAGTTGCATCTTCAAGTTTAGGTCCCGCAGAAAATTTTCACTGAGCTCACACCCTCTGACACCCATGCTTACTGCAATTATAGAATTTTTCACATTTTTTTGTCTTTGTCAGTTTCCCCTGCAAGAATCAAAACTCCTTGAGGTCAGGGACTGTGTCTAGTTTGCTGTTTTATGCCCCAGCACGTAGCATAGGGGTTTGGAATATTGTGGGTACTTGAATGTTAGTTGCATTAAGGATGAAATGAGCATGAAAATGTGTAAGTATATACAAATGTATAAATGTGCAAGTATACATATAAGCCTACATTAAGTATAAACTGCCATCAGATTATACTGTTTAAAGATAACTATCCAGTCATCTTAAAGACACAGGAAACTGGATCTCAAAATGGTCATTCTTTTCATAGTCAAGCAGACATAAATCACATTCCATTTAAATTAAATGTTTCCTAGTAATAATTAATAATAATAATAAGTTAATTAATTAAGTGTTTCCACTGTTACCTTATTGCTCTGAAATTTGGGGCAGCTATCGGTACTGTGTTTAAATATTTAGTTTTATCACCATTGCCTTCAACCTATGGGTCCAAGACCAAAAACTGGGTCCTGGAACACAGTAGTTTAAGAGAGTTAACCATTCATTGTGATGTGATAGTAGTAGATATCTGTGGGAGACTCGGCAGAGCTTTCTTGGAGAGCTGCTTGAAGAAGGACAAACTCAACTGATGTGAAGAAGCAATAAGGAGAAAACAGGGGGCACCCTGAGTCAGAATTTTTTCATCAGTATGTACTAAGCATCTACAATACATCAGGGAGATACAATGTATCCAATATACACAGAAGAACAAGATTTGACCCTTTGCCTGGAAATGCAAACGGCTAGTCTGGAAATAATTAGAAATAATGGAGTAAGATAACACGGTTGATTATGTGACAAGAAATACCATATAATGAATGACCTTTCAAAGAACCACCACATCAGTTATCAAAAACTACTATCATGGGGGCAACGTGAAAGGGAAGGCGGGTCAATATGCTTTTCAGTTAAAAAAAAAAACAAAACAGCTTCCAAAACAAATATGGGGGGAAATGCACATAAGATAATACATATTACTAAAACACTTGGTAATTGAAAATGAAAACACTTAAAGACATTTTTTAAAAGTTGCTTTGGTGTTGTCTTTCTGTAGGTGGCATCATTTTTCGCAAAGGTGTACCTGGAGACCCTGGCCTTCCGGGCCAGGTGGGGCCTCCAGGAATCCCAGGAGTGGATGGGCACAAAGGTTAGTTCAATCAATGGTGCTGTTCTATTAGAATAAGCCATTTTCATCACCATTTCTATCACTGACTTTTTTCCCCGTGACACAATGGTGAACCTAAACAGCAGACAGTCAGGGGTGGCTTCTTTTTCCAAAAGAATTAGCTGAAACGATTCATTTATCTGTACATCATTCATGTGTTTAGCATCCATGCAATACACCATTGCCTATTGCTAGAATGTGAGTTTTAGCCTGCCCTCGAGGAGACAAACACTGAAATAGTAGATGATTTCTACTCGACTCGGGATTTCCACTCTAAGAACACCAAGAAGCTCAGCTGGATAAAGCAAGCCAATAGAATAGATGACTGATTTTTTATGAATATGTAAACTATCCTAGATGACTTTCAGGACATGAAGAAAATTAAAATGTAAGGAATGACATTTGTGCGTTTGGAAGATAGCTGTCTTTTCTGCAGACTCGGTGTGGGTTTATGAGTAATACAAGCATGCTCTCTTTGCAGGGGAGCCAGGCCTCGTGTGCACCGATTGTCCTTGTGTCCCAGGGCCTCCGGGCCTCCCAGGATTGCCGGGGCGGCATGGCCTGAAGGGAATCCCAGGTACAGACAATCTGCACACAAGTGTTTTTACAAGTACAAAAGGGTCAACTCACTGGGCTGTGAAAAAGGGTATCAGAGCTCTGGATGTTGTGATGGGGTTTACAGGAGCTCTGAGGGAGATTTTCAAAAACACACACTGTTAGCATAAAATAAGCCAAAATCACATAAACGCTGGCATTTTTCCCTGTTCCGTCTTAGTTGCTGACCTCTAGCAAACTATTGTGTTATCCAGGAATTGTAAACTCAGAATCCCACAGGGGAGACCAGCAGGTAACTTGGAGGAGTGAGGCAGCCATACTAAACACAGACCACTTTTTTCTTCCAGAGAGAAATGAGCTCTCTCCTATTTGTTTCCTGAATGACACCACTCGTCTCAGCCCATTTTCTCATGTCCCCCATTTGATAGAGTCAAGGGCATATGTGCCATCTCACGTTCCTCTTAAGGATACAAGTGCAATAAAAAGTGCACCAGTGGCCTCAGTGCTGAGGACAGTAGAGCGTGGTGAGGACTGCGGCAACCTGGAGGTGGCACGTTAAAAGGAGCCATCAGGCACTCAACTTCAGACTTGTTCCTTTGCCAGATTTTAGGCCCCGGATTAATAAATCTTCCTACTTTTTGAGAAGAAATTAGGATGTTTATCTAAACTCTCATGTTTTTTTAATGTTAGACATTAATTTTTGAAGAAAAATAAACATTGCATAGGCCAATATTCTGAGGGCTAAATAAAGCCTATGTCACTTCAGGTGTCGACACCTGAGCCAAACAAGGACTCTCACACCAACACTGTCACTCCAGGCTGTCACCGACTCTGCTGTCCTACCTCGCCCTTCTTCAGCCAAAAGACTGGCTGTGGACAAAACCTTCGAGTAGAAAATCTTTATTTATTAGGTGGGCTCCTCTGCCCCTGTGCCCCTCCCCTGGTGACCCAGTGACTCTCATGTGGCACCACACACAGTCTTGTTTCTGCCATCAGCATCTTGGTCTTTAGATGCTGTGATCAAATTTTTATTATTAACCAATAAGAGGTCAGGCTACGGAGCCCTTGGTCATGTGCTAGGCACTGTTCTACGTGTCTTCTGTGCCTCCATGCCTTATTCCTCACATCAAACCTAGAGGCAAGTGCTATCATAACCCCATTTGACCAATGAGGGAGCCGAGGCATAAGGTGACGTAGCTAATAAGTGGTAGAGCCCGGACTCAAACCCAGACACCATCCTCCGGAGGCAGCTCTCGCCCTCTACACCAGCATCCCTTCATTGCTGTACCGGGGCTGCCCTTTGAGGCCAGTTAATCCAAAGGTCTCCCTGGCAACATACATAAGGGGACGTTTGTGTGTTGCCACTGTCCGGTGCATACTTGCATTGGCACAGGTCTTTGGGGAGGCTGGTGCTCAGCCCAAAGAAAACAGGCTAATGGTGGCAGCTGTGGGCACCATGGACAGCCAAGAGAGGAGGCGCATTCAGGCAGGGATCCTTTGTCACTCTCAAATCCTACCCACTTCTTTATAAACACTTTATCCCTTTGTAGTCGCTGTCCTCTGACTCCCTGGGACAGGCCTGAGAGGGAAAGACGGGCAAAGGGTGAGGTGAGGGGCTTTTCCCAAGCAGCTCCTGCTCAGTGCCCAAGTCTCTGGGGGAAATGTTCCATTAAAACAAAAACTAAAAAGGATGGAGGGAAGAAGAGGGAGAAAGGGAAGGATGGAGGAAGGGAGGGAAGGAAAGAGGGAGAGAGGCAGGGAGAAAAAAAGGAAAGCAATCGTTATTTTCCTACATTCCCTTGGGTGACCTCTGGCCCATAAGCAACTAGTCGTACTGTTATATTTTCTGTGGTTTCTCTACATTTGGCAGATGCCAGGTGTAGCTCAAAGAATCGAAAACCATTTGGATTACTACCAAAAGTATATCCTGGCTCAAATCTTGCAAAAAATAAAACCTGAATAAACATTTGTTAATAAACTGACCTGAGATCCATCTGGAAGATCTTCTGAAGGGATCATCTTTACAGAGATACTTAAATACCTATAAGAAGTATAAAATTGTACAGCAAAATGCAATTTGGCAGCAGATATCCAAAGCCTCGGAAAAGATTGTGCCTGTTTGGTTCTGAAGTTACACTTTTAGGAATTTATTGTAAAGAAAATTAATTGGATAAACCTGGAAAACTGAATATCCAGAGGTATTCCTCATAGTGTTTACAACAGCTAAAGTTGAAAAAAACAATCTAAATGTCTGAAAACAAGTTAGCTTAATAAATAATGGTTCACCCACAAAATAGGCTACTATGCACCCATTTAAAGTGAAGCTATAAATCTGTATGTATTGACATATGTATAGTATGAGTATAAAATGTATAAAAGTTCTATGCATTTATGGATAGAATATACATGAAAATTTTAGCAAATATTGTCTTCTGGTGGTAGATTTATGGGTGATTTTCATTATCTTATTTCTGTATAATTTTTTTACAATGAGCATATGTTACTTTTATCATTAGAAAAGAATTAATGTATCCCCTTAAAATTATAAAGATAAGAATTTTAGAAAGCTAAAATTTTTAAGAGTTCTTGGTTGTTGGTTTTTTTCACATTTTCTTTTATTCCAGTTACTTACTCCCCCCATTCTCTTCTTGCACTGTATGTTTTAAGATGGAAATTGTGTTCCTTTTCTCAGAACAAAACACCCTATTTCTTTCATATGCTGTATTACCCTGGCTGCTCAGAGCTGGTGTTCAATGAATATTTAAGAATTCACTCATTTGCAGGGGGACGAGGGAAACCTGGCATTAAAGGAAGCCCGGGGTCTCCAGGATGTGCTGGTTTTCCAGGATCTCCAGTAAGATTTCATGGTTTTGAAGCTTTAGTTTCAATTTGGAGAATGGAGCACCCCCAAAGTTATCAGTTGGGTGCCTGGCAAAGAAGAGGCACTTAACAGACACTTATTGATTAAATGAATAAATGAATGATGTATGAATGAATAAGTGAATGAATAAATGAATGAATTTATAATCACTTAAAGTGGTGTCAGAGACAGAAAACAGATCAGTGGTTGCCTGGGGCTGAGGTTGGGAACAAGGATTGACCACAAATGGGTTGGAGGGAATTTGGGAGAGTGATGGAAATGTGTTAACACTGAATTGTGATTGTACCTTTATTTTCGAAACCATTGAATTGTATTCTTACAAAGGATACATTTTATGGTATGTAAATTATACCTCAGTAAAGTTGTTAAAAATTTAAATTTGATTATCATAGTGAATCATAAAGTTATATATGGATAAATACATTTAAATCGCATTATCCAGAGATGCATGTTAACATTTACCATATTGTGTGGATTGCATTGCATTGTACTCACTGAATTCTTTTCCAGTTTTGGAAGCAAAAGCAAAAAACACAAAAAGCTTAAGATTATACTTGTGTGCCAAAGAATATGTCTGAAAAAAAAATACACGTTCATTAAAATTGAAAAGTTCTTGTTGACATTTGGTAAATTTTTTCAGAGATGGACACAAGAACAACTGTCCAAACGCCATGTTGACACATTTCTGTGCTGCCCTAGGGATTCCCAGGTGGTCCCGGTCATCCAGGACTTAAAGGAGAAAAAGGTGAAACACCTCAGCCAGAGGGACAAGCAGGTGCCCCTGGGGACCCAGGGCCCAGAGGACAGCCTGGAAGAAAGGGCTTGGATGGAATTCCTGGAACTCCTGGACGAAAAGGGTTCCCAGGACCTAAAGGTGAACTGGTTAGTATCTTAGTAATTTTTTTTCAAATTACCTTCCCTGTAAATGAAGTGCCCTGAAGTTAAGACATACGGTGAATTCCTTTCAGAAAAACGGGCCGCTCATCACACGTCATCCCTCTAACTGTAGAATGAGGCATCTTCAAACCAGAGCAAATATTTGTAGCATTTTGACAAAATAAATAGGTAACACTCAAAGATCTTTTTAGCCCAAATAAAATTCTTCATTGATAATGACCTTGTCTCATACACAAGTTACAATTCTACATTTGTGTCAAATGAGTTTGTAAAGAAGTTCAGAAAATAATTAAAAGGGAAAGTTTTAGTCAGTGGTTAGGGGGCAATGTGCATCCTTTTAAGTGAAAATAAGTGCAGAAAAAGACAAAATGTTCATGGGTGGGATAGTCAAATAGATCAAATGTTTTGTCATTGACAATATTTAAGTTTATATAAATTCTCTCTCTTTCCATGGAGTAGAACCTCTCACATGTTCAATTGGGAGAGTCCTACCACAACCTGGTTTTCTTTGAGAAATTTGCAAGGCATGCTGCCCAGCCTATTGTCTGAAATGCCAGTTTCTCCCAGGGTTAATCAGTGTGATGCAATAAAAAAGGTCCCACTTCGAACAGGGACGCTTAGCCAACAAATTTAAAGTTTCATTTATAGACTCTTAAATGTCAGAATATGAATTGTGACTCCCCAAGGTGTGCAAGATATGGTATGCAATCTTCCCTAAACGTTTTTTACTACAAAGTACTTTTTGGCTGGCAGGGCCAGGGTTTCTCAGACCCTCCTTTGACAAACTGTCCATCTGTCCCCCACGTGGTAGTTGTGGTTCTAGAGAGACAGAATCTAGAATGCTTTTGGTCTAGTATTAATAGAATTCATATGATGCTTCCATTTGTGTCTCCATCATTCCCTTATTGGTTCTGGGAAAGGTGTTTCAGGAAGTAAGAGAAAAAATCAAGGTGATTTGCTGTTTGTTATGCCCTGTCATTATGCAAGAAGGACCGCTTAGCCACCGGGGATATAATAAAAAATCCAGTTAAATGTATTATGTGGGGCCATGTTGGAAAGGAAGGGGAACTTCAATTACTTTGTCAAATTCAACTTCCTTAAAACACACAATTTATTTTCAAAGTTACAGCCTACAAAGAAATTGTAAAAGACATTTTATCAGAAAAAAATTAATAAAGATAGACTATCTCCTTTGTAATGAAAATACCCGGTGAAAGGCAAAACGAATAAACGTTTGCTGTACTTGTTTGATTTTAGAAATGTACCATTAACGTCAATGTCACCTCTAAGTCCATTTGAACTGTTGGCCTATTTGAGCTAAGTTTTGGGGACTAGTATCATACAGGTGGTATGAAATTGTAGGGACATCTTGAGTGGGACTCCAGAGAGTTCCAAGTGAATGAAATGTGGCTGAATTCCAAGAGCCAAAACACCGCAGCAACCATACAGAGCCCTTTTTTTAGTAATGATTCCTTTAAATGCCAAATGCCTTTTAATTCAAGACCTTCTCAATGACTGGTATTCATATTCATGGTAATAGTAACCTACGTAAGGAAATACTGGAATGAAGCACTATCCAAATACATTGCTATCGTCACAGGCCCTCATTGGTGAGAAGGGGGACCGGGGTTATCCGGGGGATCCTGGCAGCCCTGGATCCCCAGGACCTGCAGGACCAGCTGGACCACCAGGCTATGGACCGCAGGGAGAGCCCGGTCCGAAGGGTGACCAAGGCGTTCCTGGAGTCCCTGGAGCCCCTGGAAAAGCCGGTTGGTTAGTTTTCTTTCCAGTCCTGTTTTCTTATGGAGCGGGTTGATGGTTCCTAGTGAAGCTCCCTCCAGACCAGTGGATGTGTAGAAACCTGCTTCTATTAAGTACAATATGTCAGCTCGTAGGCACTAAGAAAGAACATGTAGGATATGTTAGAGAAAATCCATTCTTTTCCCTGTTACTGAGCAATTCAGTTCAAACTTCCCAGGATAGACTATATCCAATACTGATATAAATATATGGAATTCACAGATGCTAAGGAATGAGTGGAAGTCAGTTATAGTAAACAAAGGGGAGGCCAAATCCTAGGACACTGATCTTGAGATGCCTCTTCCAGGCTTCTAGGGCCCACTAATATTACTCCATATTTGTTCTTTTTTATCCATAACCCAATAAAAATTTTATAAATGAAACTTCAAAATATCTAAGTCACATGAAAAAAAGTTGTCTGATAACACTTTTAAAGTCCGGGGAACTTTTGGGATCCACTTGTACTGAACATTGTTTCTGGAATCAGGAGGTGTTACCTGTGGTCAAGAACACGGTGGAAAATGAAAATGGCATACTACTAACAGCTTTAAATAAATAATGCTGTCGTGGTCATGCCTCACTTCTAAAATCACTTTAAAGGGTGAGACCCGATAACCAGTGGTCTCCAAGTCATTTTATAGCATCATCAGGAAAACCTGACATGCACATCCCCACGGTACCCATATGTATTATAAACTGTATGCATGCATTTCCGTCCACACATGTATGCAAACCTTATTTTGTGGTTCTACATACATGTACTTTTTTTCCTGTGCCTTACTTTTTTTTTCTTTTTTTTTTTTCTCCTGTGCTTTACTTTTGAGGCTGCTGTTCTAATCCAAGAATTGGCAAACTGTGGCAGCTCACAGTCCAAATCCAGCCCACTGCCTATTCATGTATGGCCCACAAGCTAAGAAAGGTTTTTATATCTTTAAATGACTGGAAAAAGGAAAACTTTTAAATAATAGGTCATGAAATTCAAGTTTCAGTGTCCATAACTAAAGTGTTATTGGCACACAGCCACTCTCATCCATTAATATATCCGTTCTGGCTGCTGTCACGCTATGACGGCGGAGTTGAGGAGTTGTGACAGACCATCTGGACCACAAAGCCTAAATGATTTGCTATCTGGCCCTTTGACAGAAAAAGTTTACTCAGCCCTCTTCCAACTCATCTTCAAACCCTCTTCTGTTCTTTCTAACTGTGCATCCTTAGCGAAGGACTCCATTGTCCTAACATATATTATCATCAACTGTTCCCATCACACTACTGTATACCTACCTACTCTGTCTAAAAATATATGAATATATGGGCAACACTAATCACTCACATGGTTTTTAATATTGTGGCAGAACATGATCTCTGATCTTTACTAGCTGAGTAAGCATTATTTCCCCAATGACACATGAGGAACTTATCAGAGAGTTTAACAAATATTCCCCGTATCACACTCCTTATAAAGAGCAAGGCCAAGGTTCATGTCCAGACCTCCCTGTCAGGCCACACTTCCTGGCTGTGCACTCAACTAGTCACCCAATCAATGAATAGCCTGCCAGCATCCACCAATGTTTAAGCTGAATTCATGTTATCATTTTTTTTTTTTTAGAATAGGCTCTCTTTCAATAGACCAGCACGTTGGGCTGTTAATTAAAATAAGGCCTTAGACAATAAATAAATAAATAAATAAATAAATAAATAAATAAATAAATAAATAAATAAATAAAATAAAGCCTATCTAAGCAGAGACTATTTTTCATATTCCTTGGAATATATCTGTGAACCCCTCATTATCATATCATGTATTTCCCCTCTGAACCAAGGAAAACCTCAATATGCACACGAATCTCATAATCATAAATTTTCTTAAGGTCCTCCGGGAGAACCCAGTATTTCGACACCAATCCCAGGGCCCCCAGGTCCTCCAGGGCACCCAGGCCGTCCTGGCCCCCGAGGTCCACCTGGTAAGTACCCCCTTTGTCAAGCTGGGGACATGGCACCAGATGGTGCCCTGACTCTTCTGGGAAAACTCTGTCCCCATTATAAGGAAAATAATATATTCATTGGCTCCCAAAGAGAGCACAGGCCAGAGCTTTGTCAGATAATAAGCCAACAGGCAGGGAACTTACTGCTATCCTTTGACATTATCCAAATTATTCCCATTGGTTCTTCTGATTCCAAAAAAGAATTGATATGATTACTTGAGAAGAATTCGAGAGCAGAACAATCTTCATGGGTATTTGGTGGAGGAAGAGGAACGCTTGCCCGTGGTTAATCAGGATAGTTAGTACCCAGAGTTTCTTCATTTGAAAATGTAACTTCTTCACCAATCTGATCAAAAACTTCATTTTGCGTGCAGGGAGGGAGACACATCGTTCAAGATATCTAGAATATTTCTTTTCAGGAGTTAAATTATATTTTCAAAATTATTTGCAGTTCCTAAAGATTAGTCCATCGGGTGGGAATGGGGGAAGAAGTCAGAGTTATGTTAAAATTATTTCTTCATTTCCAAAAATGTCGGAGATGACACAGAAACTGAGACATTTTGTTTCAAGAAAAGATAAAGGACAGTTGCTGATGTGGACGCATATCTGTTGTTAAGGTTGTCCTGGACTCAAAGGAAAATGCGATCACCCAGGTATTCCTGGGCCTGATGGTGAACCAGGAATTCCAGGAATTGGATTCCCTGGGCCTCCTGGACCTAAAGGTAAGTTTTAAAAATTTAAAACATAAGGTTCATTGGGGATATTTAGAAAATATAAATATATATATATATAATGAAGAACATAGGAAATACCCATAATACTCTTTAAAATGATGTTTTCCACCAGTCTTCAATGGGGAAAAAAAATCTTACAAGAATGTTAGGTAAAAAGGCAGAATTCACATTGATTTCTGCAATCTCATATCAATTATATATATATTTTAATGTATGGGAAAAAAACTGGAGGCAGTTCACCAAAGTGATTCTTCTTGATAGTGGGATTATATTTTTCTTTACTTCTGAATAGTTGCCTACACTTCTTACATTTTTATATTTCTTCACTTTATACATTTCTTGTATAATAAAGAAATAACTATTAGATCACAAATAGCTGATTTTCCATACATTCCAAAATAAATCACAGAAGTTATTCTCCTTTAGGAAAAAAAGAAAATGCTGTTTCTCATCAAAGGGGAAACACTTCAAAGAAATCCAGAAACTGAGGTCCCCTGAGGTATCTCAAACAATACCTTGAGGCTCCCCCCTGACAAGTGCTGTAAAGTCCTGTCAGGGTGACATATGAGTATTCCCAGTCACCAGCCACAACACAAAACTTCAGACTTTATGATAGTTTCATGTTTGTTTCAATATAATTTAAAATCTGTGTCAAAATATAATCCATTTTTGGTGCTTCATCTCTTAGATATCACCAATGTTTATCATACATCAGGTCTGCCCAAATATGGGAATATTTATCTGAATTTATGAGTATTTGAAATGGAAAACATAATCACATTCCTCATACGGTCACAAAAATGGCGTTGGCTGTAATTTCTTGAATTTCTTTCCAATGGCCTCTGAAGTCACCAGCCTGGCCCATATTTTTGCCTAGTCCTTCTTGGACCCTGCATGAAGAAAATTGCATCCTAGTTTGTAACCCCTGTGGGGTCACCTCTGGAAAGAGACACTAAACTATGGGAACCGGAACTAGTCTAAGAGCTCCTTGAAAGTGGAGAGTCAAAATTTCCCAGCTGAACCTAATGAATCCTGTGAACTAGCTGTTAATTAAAAACTTGTCAAATTAGGGGCACAGAGGAACATTCTGAGCGTGGCTTCACTTCACCAGGGCTTTCCATTTCTGAACCACAGAACAGAGAAAATGATGTGTGTGACTCCTTTCTCCATTCTCCTATCATAAATGCATATGAGAGAAGTGAATTCATCACATTCAGTGGCTCCTGTAAAGCATTAGGAAGTAATTCTCTTGAGCAACCCATGTTGAAAAAAGCTATCTGGGTGCCGGAAATGCTTTATCTCTTGATCTGGGTCATGTTTGCATACTCGTATATATATATATATATATATATATATATATATATATATATATATATATATATATATATATATATATATATATATATATATATATATATACATACATACATACATACATACACACACACACAAATATATATATTTGGCTGTCCACTGAATGTAAAATATACTTTTTTTCTTCAAAAAGTCAGCCAAATAGTCAACCAGGATCAATGGTTTAAAAAATTGCTCAATCAAAATTATAGTGGTACTAAATAACAAAAATTTGATTAGGTAATTTTTAAAATTGAGAACCAATGTAATCTGATTTGAAATTGAATTTTTTTAATTGCTAATTTAGCAGTTGGCTTTCTCATCACTCAATCTTTTATAAAAAGAATCTATAGCTGCTGCTTTCCTCTTAAAAACCTTAGCTAAAATAAGAGAGATACTGCTCAGAATCTTTTCATAGGATAATCTTACAACATTTACTATTTTTTCTCTGTAGGAGACCGAGGTTTTCCAGGAACAAAAGGATCACCGGGTCATCCTGGAGAAATTGGAAAGCCAGGCTTACCTGGAAAGCCAGGTGTCCCAGGAGCCAAGGTGTTTGAGAATTAAACCTCAGGCTGATATGAGGATGAAGGAGCGTGATCGTAGTTGGCCAGTTAGGTTGTTCCTGCCAGTCAGGATGCTCTGTGTGTACAAATTATCAAAATATTGGTAGATGATAAAGATATTGAACTCGTTTAAAGTTTCTTGAACCATCCCCCCCTTTTAGAAAGGAAAATAGAAGGTGTTACGAGATAGGTTTGCTTCTTTAGTCCCTCGTTAATCTTCAGAGACATTCAGAATATTTTAAATGGGAGAACTGTTGGTAAAAACATGGACAGCTATGAGAAAAGCTGTCAAAAGAAGAGACACCTAGATGGTTTATGGAAAATTCCACAGTGTTCTGAAACCGTGGAGGCTCTAAAGAATTATTAAGCATAATTTTATAGGAAAGTCAGCAGCTAGAGTGGATAAAGGAAAGTTGATGGAATGGTGGTGACTGTGCAAAAGGGACTTAGAAGCTCTATAATGAAAATATTATTTTTAAGTAAATAGCCCTAAAAACTAATTAATCAATAGTCAATAAGGATTTGGAAGCATTATGTAGTAAAACTAACATAATTTCTGTGCTATAGGGAGAACCAGGAATAGCCATGCCTGGAGAACCAGGAACACCAGGTTTTCCAGGAGAAAGAGGCAATTCTGGGGAAAATGGAGAAGTTGGACTCCCTGGATCTCCCGGTCTCCCTGGAATTCCAGGAACTGGAGGGCTTGATGGACCACAAGGTACCATACATAGCAAGTGCGATTACCTTTCTCCACTGTGAGCTCAGCTAAAATGCAGGAAGTTGAAAATGTAGGGATGAAGAATTCTTCTCAAACAAAGCTCTAGATCAATAAATAGAAGCCGCAGAAGCTAATTCTTTGCCCATTCAACATTGTTGCCCTGCCTCTGCTCCTTTGTTCCTTCCTCCGTCCTTCTTTGCTTCTTAATGAGTTTCCTCTTAGACATATTAACGGTATTATGTATCGGTCCGATTTAAGGGGAGAAAATTACAGGAGATTGCTTGGGATAGCAATACTAGGACCTGAATGTATTCTTGGACTCTGTTTTGCAGGGGATCCAGGGCAGCCTGGACCACCTGGAGAAAAAGGACCCCCGGGAAGGTGCACAGTGGGTCCCAAGGGAGCCCAAGGACTTCCAGGCTTAAACGGATTGAAAGGGCAGCAAGGTAGGAGCATGGCCTCAACACCAGTCACTAGATGGGCAAGTGTCGTGGGACGCCTGCTTTACTCTTCGCTGTTTAACCTCGGAGCTGTCCAGCAACAAGTCCTGACCACTGTTTGGTGGAAATGTTATTTCAGACATAGAAACCTTGTTGTCATGGATCTATTGCAGTGAGTACCACCCTGTAGATCAAGAGACCTGAAGTTAATATAATAAGTTGGACTGTGTCTTGTATGCAAGAAAATATGAATACTGAATATGTATATTTACATATATATTCCTATACATAGACTCTCAAAAAAGAGTTTTACCTTTATAAGTATATTAAAGTGTCAAATGTATCCCTATTATGAAAATAAAGTGAATGCATTAAAAAAAATACCTGTCTAACAAGTTTACAAACTAAAATATGTATAGATTGCTTTAAAGCAACCTAAAAGAAAGGTATAAAAATAAATCTAAATTATGCACATTAGATGGTCCAGACAATGAGAAACTTATTCTTTTTGGCTCTTCTCATCCAGATCTGTGAACTACTGGGGAAAACCCTCCAGAGCTCAGCTAATGCCTGCGGGCTATCATACTGCTTATGAGTTCACAAACAAGTCTGTGGCCAAGACGTGAATTGTAGTGGTGCTCTTATTGTTCCCAGAAGCATCTGGTGGCTCGCTCCATGTGAGTGGCTCTAAATGTATTCTGCAAGCTAAAGACTGAGCTACAGTCATAAAATGCAGTCCCAGGACATGCCTGCAGAACTAGAAAACACATACAAATTCTACATTTTTATTACTGCATGAGTCATTGAAACAGAGTGTGAAAGCCAGAAGGGATCTTTAAAATTTTATAGAAGGGGACGTAAATCAATCAATCTGTTAAGTATGTGGTTTGCTCAAAATCATACAGCTACATATTTGCAGCCACAAAATATTTCTGGAGTTGGTGGGAAATGTACTTGTGCTCATTCATTCATTCATTCATTCAAATATAGGCAGAAGAGGTGAAACAGGGCTCAAGGGAGACCCAGGTATCCCGGGCTTGGATAGGTCAGGATTTCCAGGAGAACCTGGACCACCAGGAAAACCAGGTCATCGAGGTGACATGGGACCGCCTGGTCAAAAAGGATATCCAGGAAATCCAGGATTTTTAGGGCCACCAGGTATCATTTTTTATGCTTTTATTTTTCTTCTGTCTTCTTCCACATTTTCCTTTTCAGGTGGCTATAGAAACTGGGCATGGGCATAGGCTTTTGATTCTATGCTTCTCTTTCAGTTAGTATAAGTTTTTTCTTCTGAATGGTTTGTAAGGGGCCAGAGGGCAGGGTAATGGTGGTAACGGGATGATCACATTACAGTTTCCTAGGATGTAACTATTTGTGTAATCTTTTTTTCTATTACTACTAAAATATATTTGCTAGTATTTTGCTGAGTTTTTTTGCATCTATAATCATAAGGGATCAGATAGTGTTTCCTACTCTTGTATTTTCTAGAAGAATTTGTAAAGATGGATATTCTTTAACTGTTTGGTAGAATTCAACAGTGGAGTCATCTGGGTCTAGGCTTTTCTGTGTGGGAAGTCTTTAAATTACTAATTCAGTTTCTTCACTTGTTATGGGTCTGCTCACGTTTTCTATTTCTTCTTGAGTCAGTTTTGGTAATTTGTGCCTCTCTGGGAATTAGTCCACTTTTTCTATGTTATGTGATTTGCTGGCATATAGTTAGTTATTCTTAGTGTTCCCTTATCATTCTTTTTATTTCATCATGATTTTTATAGTTTGTATGTTTGGGAAGAATATTCCAATAGCTTCTTCCTCATGCATAAGAACCTCCCTGATCCTTCTTCCAGAGAAGAGCCCAGAATAACAGCTTAACCTAGAAATTATCCTTTCATTCATATTATTGAGGTACTATCACATGCCAGCAGTGTTCTAGGCCATAGAGACACATCAGTGGACAAGACTTCACCTCTGGCAGTGGGGGAGACAATAAGAAATACATTTAAAAACTAAGTTCAATGGCCGGCTGAGTGGCTCAGTTGGTTAAGAGCTCGCTCAAGAGTTTGAGCTCTGAGCAACAGCAGTTCGATTCCCGGCCCGAGCTGAGCAGCCGCTGAGCTGCCAACAGGTGGCAGGATGGCTCAGCCAAAAAAAAACTAAGTTCAACTCTAGGCAACTGCTATGAAGAACTGCTATAAAATAAGGGAGTATAACAGGAAGTTATTACTGGTCAGGGATGGGGAGGAGGGAAAGCTCCAGAACTTCAACATATTTTATTCTCATCCACAAATGTGATTTGCTACCAACGACTTATACATGATGTGACAAAGACCGTTTACTGACCCACCTCCTAGACAAATATGACTGTTTTCCTGTTTACGGAAACCATTCCTTCAACTCCCAGCCTCTCCTTCTAAGTGTAATTCATTTTATTAGATGGAGCATTTGCTCTTTTCATTCTACACAACAGGTGCTGCTTTGTGTTACTTTGTTTCCATAGGTGAAAAAGGAAAAGCTGGGATGATGGGCTTCCCCGGAAACATTGGTCTTCCGGGGCCTCCCGGGAACCCAGGCACGCTGGGCCAGAAAGGTAAGCGATGGAGGCGCTTTCCAGCAATCGGGTGGCATGAGCAGTGTTCATGTATTTAACAGCAAAATAAAGTATGTTGTATTCTTTGAGGGGAAAACAGTTCCGAGAGAACCACATATTTGATTTTGCTCTTTTCTGTATTCGTTTTTCCCCGTTTGAACAGGATCGCATTTTCTCCCCACAGGCTTACATGCTACCCTCATGTGGCTGCCTGATTGGGGGAACCATTGATCAAGTTCTCAGCACTGTTAACCTTTGTGGCTTATTTGTTTTGTTTTGTTTTTTTTATGGTAAGCACTGTTACCTTTCGAAGCCTTAGGCATTACTTAAAGAATTGAAGAACAGCTATTGTGACTCCTGTCTTGTAGGTAGCTTTGGAATTCCAGGAGCAAAGGGTGAGAGAGGACTCCCAGGAGCCAAAGGGGACGAAGGAGCTAAAGGAATTCCCGGGCCTTCTCAAACATTCCACATCCCGGGGGACAAAGGAGAACCAGGCCGCAAAGGTACACACCGCCTTCCGTTTAGAGCCAGAACATGAGAGCTGATTCTGAGAGTCAGGCTTCCCTGGGCCAGTCCTCTTAGTGGGCAAATGGGGACAGTGAGGGGCAATGTCTAATTTCCTTCCCACAGTCACACAGCCAGCTGGTGGCCCAAGTCTGGATTAGAACTGGGTCCTGGGTGCCTTGTACAGTAATATGCTTCTTCTTTAAGGCATAACTTTTTATTTCTAAGTTAATTCTGCATTTTGGTCTACTGTATTTAAATTGTCACTAGTCAACTTTAAATCATAAACCCTCAAAGTCCATTTTTGCCATGTAGGGGGGAAATCAAAACCTTTAGTAATGCCACATAAAAAACTTCCCTGGCTGAAAGAGAAACCTCCACTCTAAATTCCACTCTATTTCATCAGCTGTAAGTAAGGGTGAATTTTTCTCATTGCACCTAAAAACTGCTTCTCGTGCTCAAAATCCTTTGGAGAATAATTACTGAAAAGAAAGTATATTTTAACTGAAAATTAATGCTTTAGAAATGCTGTTGTGAGCTCTAGCTACTAGGCTAAAATTCAAACCCAATCAAATTATTTCAAGTTATTATTCCCTTTCTCTGACACTTTTTGTTATACAATCAATACAACCAATGTAAAATCAAATTTTAAGAAAGCATGACTTATGGTCTCCTTGACCAATTCTAATCCTAATTAATTTTAGAAAAACAGGATTTCTACATAAAATGAAATGTTTACACAACAAACTTTCATAGCACAAAAGAATAAAGGGAAAATGTGTTTGCAGTTGCAAAACCCTGTCAAGTTTTCAGTAATATGTAATAAATTTTGAGAAGTGAAATTATATTCAACAAATACTTATATGTTTGGCACATAAAGATTTATAGTCCAAGTAAAGATTTGCCAAAAAATTCTACAGGGTGCTGTAGAACCAAAAGACTGAATAGCTCTCTTTCCCAGAATTAGGAAGGACTTCACTGAAGTGATAGTTGACCAGGACCTTGAGAGTAATTGAATCCAAATAATTTGCCAACTTAAAAAAATGCATAATCATTAGAAAAATAAATTCAAAGAAAGGGTTTTATTCCATAAGGAAAATTAGGAAGTAAAGGTCTTTTGAGTAGTTTCCGTTTAATCTGGTGTCAAGGAGATAGTTTAGTTCTGGGTGAAACAGGACATTGCACTACATTTTTTGCAATGAAATAAAAAGTTATATGAATTTTATAAACCTCAGCCAGAACCGGTCTAAGTCACAAGTGAAAGGAAAAACAAAAGAAATACTGCCACAAATGTCCAGTCCTCACAAATTGTCTGCATACACACCACTTCACTGGACTAGTCTAGATGATTTAGGTAGTGTGAGGAACATCTCAAAAAAAATGTGAATAGCATATCCATGCCTACACAAACTAAAATTTGGATCTAACATCATAAATGCACAACAGGTACTGATTTACGATTAAAGAATTCCTTTTGAAATGTGTAGACGGACACATGCTTTCTATGCTTGTATCAAAATCATTTTACTCACCCGAAGTTCAATAGACATGGAAGCTGTCCTGAATGTTTTCCTTTGGCTTTTCAAATACATAACCAAGTAGCAGAGATTAAACAATAGCAACGAGAAGATCGTACTGTCTGGGCCCCTCTTAATTTCAATACTATGAATTTTGTTTTTTAACTGAATTTCTGGCTTAAAGGCATCCACAGTAAATGGATGAGATGTCGAAGGCGGAGCACAATGTCGTCTCCTAAAGGAGTCTGCATGGGAGACGAGCATATGTATGAAAACATAATGAATACTACAAGATGCAAATTAGTACTGTTTTGTTATTTTAACAAAGACCTAGGTAACACAACATGCAGGTACTGTTCTAAGTTTTACAAATATTGACTCGTTTAACCCTCACAATAACCCCAGGAGTAGGTTATTGCTATTGTCCCATTTTACAGATGGAGAACGGAGAGGTCAAATTAATGCCACTCTCCTAGGAAGTGACAGAGATGGGACTCACACAGATGTGGTTGCCATACTCGGCCTCCTCGCTGTGCTGGCAGGTGCCACTGGCAGTGAGCCCGGTGGGAGGTGAGGGAAGCAGAAAACACAGCAACCAAGGTAGTGGGAGAGGCCTCGTGAAAGAGGATTTAAGTTGTGAGTAGGAGTCAGATGAGAAAATCATACTCTCGGCTTAAAACCTTATCAAGTCTCGCCCTGCTGTAAGAATTCAAACTTCATAGGTTGGCATACAAGTTTATCACTTGCCCTTTGTCTACTTCTCCAACCACAGCACATTTATTTATCCAATAATTATTTTTTTGTACCTATTAACTAGACATTTTACTCTGCTGAAGACACAGAGGTGAGCAGAGCAGAGGGAGTACCCTGGTCATGAGACAAGTCACAGTTCAGTGGGGAGAAAGAGACGTTAATGGATTTATAAACATTTTCTGTATCGGGCCAGATTGTATTGGGTTGTCAGAAGCGTCATGACGTTTTTTTTCTATGTTTTTCATTGCAAAAATGCATCATGACTTTTCTGGCAACCCAAAAAATATCTTAGGCTTTCTGGACCACATATGCTCCATATGCATATTCTTCTTTAGTGTTCGTTTCTCTGTTTATTTGTTACAGTCCTTTAAAAATGTGAAAGCTCTCCAGCCATACACCAAGCCAGATTCAGCCTGCAGGCGGTAGTTTGTCAACTAAATAATATGTATTTTTAGATTATGATAAATTACATAAATGGAAAAAATGAAGGTGACGAAAGAAAATAATCTAACCCCTTGGTGTTCACCACTCCTTTGCACATGCTATTTTCTTGCCTGTGGATCCTGTCCCATTCCTTGCTTTTTTTCACCCAACTAGCTCCCACGTGGTCTTTAAGACTGAGCTAAAAAAACACCTCCTCTTCCAGAAATTCTTCCCTGTAGCATATTGTGCCCAACTCTGTTACAGAACTTATCACACTGGGCAGCAATTGTTTACTTGGTTATCTCCCCAGTGAAGCACTAAAAACTTGGGGGACAGGGACATGATTTATGTCTCTAGTACTCAACATAAGACCTGTTTATTGATTAGACACTCAACCCATATGGGGATGGATAAGTGTGTAAACAGGGAAACTGCCACAGAAAGTGGGTCTGCTGGAGAAATGGCACAAACCCGGCCATCCACAGGTAGTAGAACGCTTCAGGTACCAGTGGAAGATGTTCATGATTTATACTGTAGATCACAGAGATTCGAGGAATATTTTTGAGCAGGAAAATAATGTGATCAAAGCCGTGTTTCACAAAGGTAGGGTGTTGTTGTGGCAAGTGTATGAGCTTCCCCACCTGCAGAACTGGGTTCAAATTCCCGACATCACCACTGATGGATGGTGTGACTCCAGGTTAGTCTGCTGATTTCTTACAGTCAGTTTCCTCACCTCTGCCTCCAATCTGGAAAGGCTCAAGGATAGAGAGATTGCATACAGAGTAAATAAAATTAATAAAAGAAAATAATATCCATCCTATACTAATTACTTAATGAATAACAGTTATAATAAATGGCTTGAGAATGAGATAGTCTAGACAAAAATAGTGGAGTATGATCTTCTGTCATTACTAAACTTAAAAATTAAAAAAGAAGCTATATTTAGGCCCACGAATTCTTACAGTGTTTGTTTAAAGTGTTATAATATTGTGATAATTGCTAGTTTTCTTTGAGAATTAACTCATGCCAGCCTCTGTGCTAATGCTTTGTATATATTATCTCATTTAATCCTCGTTTTAAAAAGATATAAGTCCACATCTGTCCATGCTCTTAACAAATATGCTATCCCATATTACAATAATATCTCATCAATTTTAATCAGGACGTAGATAACTCTGATAAAATTATAACCTGTATTTTTAATACATGGTTTTTAACTTTAGGATTTGCAGGAAAGCCGGGTGAGAAAGGAGATAGAGGCATTCCAGGGTTACCTGGTTTAAAAGGACACGAAGGGTCACCTGGACCACCGGGACCACCAGGTAGAGCTGATTCTCTAATAGAAATATCAGGGTTTAAGTTTGCCTAGATCCAAATGCAACAAAAATGTTTCTAGACTTACTGGGTCAAATATGAATTCACCTCCAATAGTGTTCCAACAGAAATTCGCTTCTAAATTAAACCAAAATGAATGTGTTTCTAGTCAGCTTGTATTAACTAAAAAATATCCACAATATCACACATAAAAGAAAATCAGATAATGCTTTAAAGGTTTTCAAATTTGCCTCTTTTTTTTTAAGCAAGTTATTGAGTTTGCAAAGTAATTTTTTAAACAATTAAAGTAACCCCCTATTCTCTATGATCACGTCAGTGACAAAATATATTACATGGAGACAAAATGTTAGTACTGAATGTAGAAGTCTATTACTTATATGATCGCAGGCCCTGATCCTAGGATGATTTTGATGTTTGAAATCCAGGTCTGCTGATAAGAATCTAACTTTCTTGACCTTTACATTTTCTGGGTCATCAGTCCCCTCCTTATATGGAGGTAAAAAGGCACCTAAACAAGCACTTAAAACAGCTGGTCCGGCAACTCTGGATGCATTCATTCATACAAGCAACAAATATTTATTGAGCACCTACTGTGTCCAGGAGCTATGCAAGGCATATGACTATGTATTTGTTCTCAAGGCCCCAGAGGAGATCCAGGCAGCACTGGGCATCCTGGAGAACCAGGACCACATGGCATGCCGGGAAGCATGGGGAGCATGGGGGTGCCAGGTAATGAATGTATAAGATGCTGTTATGAGCCTACAAGCTCACAGTGGGTCCCAAGTCTAGATTTTCTGTGTTGTTTGTAGTTTTGTTTTTCCACTTGGTAGAAAGTTGGTGTAATGCAGCTAGATTTACTTTTAGATAAACGTACTATGTGCAACTAGAAACTGAGTGAGAACAAAATAAATCTTTATATTGTGTAAAACTCATCCATTATGACTACCTGATGCATTAGTGATTCCAAAAAGCCACCTTCTTAGGAAAAAGGTGGTTTGTGCAAAGGCCAGAAGTAGAACATTTCAACATCCCTTTGTTTACCTATTTTACCTGATTTCTTTCTTAATTTCAGGTTCTAAAGGAAGCAAGGGAACTGTGGGACTCCCAGGTCTACGTGGAAGGCCAGGCCTCCCAGGACTTCACGGTCTCCAAGGAGATAAGGGAGAGCCAGGTTATTCTGAAGGTACAAGACCAGGACCACCAGGACCAAAGGTATATACCCCACTCAACTATTCACATTTTGGCTGTTAAGTGCGTCCCTTTAAATATCAACAGGTATATATATGAATTCAACGTGGGCAGAGAAAAATTGAAAATATTATTGTATTTTCAGGTAGTGACTTGAGGTTTTTTTAATCCTATCTCCACAACTGAGGATGCTTATCACACAGTTGTCAATTTCTGAGTTTATTCTCCCCAGTTTCACCTCCCAAGAAATTCCTCATAACTGTCCCTGCAATTTGAATGTGCTGCCAGAAGGAGGCAGTGATCAGAGGCCAGCAGCATCTGACAGGGCAGTGTTTGTTTTTACAATGACACAAAAGAGCCAGTCTCTGCTGTGTACTCATCTCACACAGACATAAAAATAAACTTCCAAACCTTGTAATCAAAAACACTTGACTTTGTTAAACTATAATAAAAGATGTAAAATAACTTTAAAGCATCATTAAAAAGCAGACAATGTCCTAAAATACATACATTTATCTTTCTTAATTGTTTAAGAACTTTAAATATTTTCATTGCATTACACATAATTTTATTTTGTCTCTATGTTCTCAGTGCGTGTGCTGTTAACTAGAGGTTGCATTTCACAGCCCTTGCTAGCTTGTATTAAGCAGCAACCAAATGTGTCAGTGGGGTTCAGTTTTTTTTTTAGGTTTGTTTCCTTTCAACCTTTTTGTGTATAGCAGAGCTAGACCACTAGAGAATCATTAAATAGAAGTTCCCATAAGCAGGGGGTTTAACATGGGATTCCATGGACTCACTAAAGAAGTCTTTGGGACCCGAAGAAGCCTACTAATCTCCTCAAAATGTAAAATAAATGCAAATTTTTGTAGTGGAGAGTCTATATTTTTTAATCAGACATTCAACAGTATATGACTCCAAAACATACAAAACTTGTTACTCAGGAGGCATTTTCCCTGACTGTTCTAAGCCAATAAAATACCACCTTTTCTAAGATTTCCACCAATAATTTTTCCACCAATATTTCCACCAATAAGTAATTGCTAAAAACAACAGGACAGAAAATTTTAGGAAGCCACCACAGACCCAAGAAAGTAACTCTTTATTACCTGGAGCACAAATAAATTTCCTTTGCCCTTTATTTTTAGACTAGGTCCTCAGAAAACCAGGGGAGACTCCACTGAGATATCTTCTTAGTGAGGAATTGTTTTATACTTAATTTTCATTCAGTTAATCAATAGCTTTATTTATATTTAGGATTTTCATAGGTAACCACAATAGTCATTTTCAGAACTGTGCATTGAACACGGAGTAAGCTGTTTTTACCATGCTGGCAAATCATAGTCATAGAGTAGTATATTTTAATCAGCTACTATGGAGAATTTGTAAGTCACCATCAAATCCCTATGTGCTGGCATATCATAAAACTGAGATACAGGTTTAATGAATATTAAATCATCGAAGTGGGTTTTTTTCCATGTGATTGACATACTTTTATCTGGATGCATGGTATTTGTAGGACATATATTCTTTTGGTCTGCTATTTCTTTCCTATCCCTGAGTGAAGCATCACAATTTGAAATTATACACTTGTGTGATTATTTACCTACCCGCCCACTGGTCTCTAAAGCTCCGTGAAGGCAGGGACTGTATATATCACATGCCTGTGTATGGTTACTATTATATTCCTGGTGAGAGCCAGCTTCACAGGCATGTGACCTGTGCAGCCACAGAGCCTGGGCACTAAGAGCTCCAGGTTTGATTTAACGCCCTGCTGTTGCTGTCTTGAATTGCTTTACATTTTTTTAAAAAGGGAGCCGCATTTTCACGTTGCACTGGGCCTCACAGATCATGGAGCCATCCTGTTCCCAGCCGCTATCACAGTGCTGGCACATAGCAGACATTTAATATAAATTGCTAACTATCTAAAAAGTAATAATAAGGAAGTGCAAGCAAACATAGTTTGTGCTTAATTCTGATCACCTGTCATGCATATATGAGAATGTTAAAGGTGTTTGACTGAATTTAAGGGAGAACCAGGATTGCCAGGTGATGTGGGGCGGAAAGGAGAAAGAGGGTCCCCTGGCCCACCTGGACACCCCGGGCCTGCTGGACCTGACGGAGCCCCTGGACATCCCGGAAGTCCCGGCCACCCAGGTGAGCTCTGACTTCACAACTCTGAAAGCTGGAAGCATGACCCTTCGCATGGCTCTCACCGCCTCGAATCATCTCCACAGGCAAAACGCTATTGAGACTTTTGTAATACAATTGCTTTTTTTCAATTTGAATCTTCAAATTCTAAGACACTAAGAAACAGCACATTAATCCAGATGAGCCTTAAGTTACTGATCAGCCAGTTTGGTGGACCAAAATCTACAAACATGCTCCCATATATAAAACCTGTGACGTGCAGCCTCAGTGAATTCAGCCTAAAGACATAAAACGTTAGTTTGTTCCCCAGACTTACAATAGTCATATTAGTTTCCTAGGGCTTCCATAACAAATAGTACAGGCGGGGTGGCTTAAATAACAGAAATGTATTTTCTCACAATTCTGGAGGCTGGAAGTTTGAGATCTAGGTATCGGCAAGGTTGACTACCTGAGACCTCTCTCCTTGATTTATAGATGGCCACCTTCTCCCTATGTCTATCCTGTGTCTGTGTCCAAATTTCTTCTTATAAGGACACCAGTCATATTGGATTAGAGCCCAACCAAGTGACCTCATTTTAACTTAAATTGCTTTGTTAAAGACCGTCTCCAAATACAGTGATATTCTGAGATACTGGGGATTAGGACTTCAACAAATGCATTAGGCAGCAACACGATTCTGCCCATGACACTGTTGTGATTTTTTTCTGGCATGTTTCAAGGCTGAACGTTGGCCTTCTTTCTCATTTGTTATCATTCAGGTTTCAGTTTTTGTTTTATTTTTAAAAACAACTGCTAAGCTACTACTGGGATGTAGTTTTGGGTCTTACTCGAAACGATAACATTTAAGTCATCTTTTCCAATGCTGAAAGCTTCAATGGATTTGCGGTTAATTCCCAATTAAAACAATAACAGATATTGAGTGGTCCCCGTGGCTGGTGTCTGCACATCTCTGAAACTGACTCGACACATCTCTGCTGTGCTGCGCTGGGGGAAAAGCCCGGGGTGGCTGATGGCAAGAGGACTGCAGCCAACTATTGTAAGAACTGACCCAATCAGCCTTTGTTGTAACCATTAACCTTTGGGTGTTCTTTTCCCCTTTCCCTCTCTCTTCATTTATAGGAAGACCGGGTCCGGATGGTGATTTGGGGTCTAAAGGAATCAAAGGCTTCCCGGGCTTTCCAGGAACAAAAGGCCCTCCAGGTTCCACCTCTGTCCTTTGTCTATTTCCCTTTCCGGAGGGAGGCAGGTTTTCTCCTGAGTTTGGACTCTGATACCCATATCTCTGAGTCATGAATGCCCTACAGGAGGTAGCTCCCAGTTACTCGGTGCTCAGACAGAAATGCAGGGAAGTGAAGTGAGGTATTTTAGACCCAATTCAAACCACTGTGGGCCTAGGCATCCCAGAGTGATGGTGCTCATAATTGTATTCACCTGTTCATAGTTTTCACTGAGAATGTGGTGTCACATAACTGCAGCTCTGAAAAACGAACTCCTTTACCAGATTTACACACGACTGGCACATTAGGCCATTGATAAGAAGTAAGTCCTCTATTAACATTGCACTATTTTTTTTTCCAGGTCCTCCAGGATTCCCAGGAAATCCTGGACCGATGGGTATGAGAGGTCACCAAGGGTGTGATGGAATTCCCGGACCACCAGGAGAAAAGGGAGAACCGGGTACAGCTTGCTGATTACCTTGGATTCACTAGTTCTATTTTGCATGAAATACTTAGTGACACTGGAACCCCCTCTCTGCTTGAGACCCTTCTCTGACAGAACGGATGCTCTTTAATGTGTCCTGGGAGTGTGATAATTAAACTGCCTTCTGTTGCCAAAGGGAAATTGACCAAGCGGAATGAATTATATAGATGTTTATAATGAAATTAACCACATATCAAATATTAATATGGCAAAATTACCTCTTTCAGGTTTGCTGGGGGCACTTCCAGGCCCAAAAGGGAAACCTGGCGCTCGAGGTGAGCAGTCCTTTTTCATATGCGCTTTCAAGGACAGAGTCTAATTTAATATGCCTGCGATATAAAATAAACTTAGCCTATTGAATTAAAGAAGTCCCAATGGCAAGGTAGGATGTTTAAGCTTCTTAGTATTCAAGTAGAAATGCTGAATTATTACCATCACGACAAAGTGAATGAATTAGAAACTGTGACCCAATTGTGGAATTTCCTTTTATGGAAGTCTTTAAAAATAAAAAGACTTCTTATGTATTTGCTTTGCTTTTGTTGTTGGCGTGGTTTGCATCACCTCCTGCGAGGATGGAGGCTGATTTGGTGGCTTGTGAGTGAACATCCCTCCCTGCTGTTCTGAGATGCCGTAATAACGTCACTCCTCCCCACCTTGTTATCTTCCTGGGTCTGATTCCAACCCCAGAGCCAGCTGGTTAGAGACAGTCACTACTGATCATAAAGGGCTACCCAGAAACTCTCTCAGCATCTCAGATGTGGCAATTTGTTGAACATGTCATTCAAAGTACGTACAAGTGTTTTGTTTGCCAGGCTGCAATCCTGGATGTCTCGTGCCAGTGTTTGATAAGATAAGCAGCTTCTTTTCACTTTTTCCAATTTGTAGAGAAACCTGCCAGGAGAAATACTAGATAATTTGCACCTTCACAGCCATGGGTCCTGTGGATAGGAGTATTATTTTAGCTCACGAGGACCAGCAAGGAGTAGCCTGATGCTCCTGAGAAACTCAGAGAGGCTGGGACCTCCTCTTCACCTGCCAGCTCAACTGAGAAAGTAGACCAGAGTTGTCCTTTTCTGTTTGTTTCCAGATGATGTGACAGTCCTTTTGGTGGGACTCAATGTCCCCATGTCTCTCACACCCCTCTCTTCCCCATGAGCATAAAGACTTTCCCAGTCTACTTGTACAGCCTAGTTTTAGAATTATGGCCAAAAGGAGTTTCTGTTCATTTTCCTGAGATGAGCTCACAGTTTAACCACTTGGAATGAGAACACTTTAGCATTTAGTTGGAAATAAAATTTGATATAAAATTGCCACACCTTAAATGAAAAGACGATTCAAAAATTAACAAGTAGCCTAATTCTATAAATGATTATGCCCTCAATCCCTCGAGAATAACTAATTAGGGAGAAGACGTTGAGACTTGGAAGGTCTTTGGAGGGAATCATTTTAACTAGTTTATGCTCCCAAATCCTAAAAAAGAAATCATATCATAAAACACAGAAGAATTTTAATGGACTTGGAATATACAACCCAAGACAGCATCTTGGTACCTCAGACCATTGCTAAACCCTGTTGTACAAATACCACACTTCACGGCTCGAAGTGAGCTGAAATCATTTAAACACTTTCATTTAAAAGCACAAATTACAGGCATAAAAGAGCTAAAGAACATGACAGACAAAGGGCTAGATATTCAATATTCATCAATTTTCTTTTCAACATCACTCTGTGTCTTCCACACATAATAACTCCCCAGGCCCTTCCCCTATGCCACCAGCCTCACTCTCACTTTTCCTTCTTTTTCCTCCAATCTGTCTCCTACTTTTTGTGCCATTTACCATTTCTAGAATAACAGAGATGGGAGACCGGAGGGGGAGATTATTTTCAATCCATACAACATTTTCCATTTGTGAATGACCAAGCAGGAGTTCTTGAAGGTTCTCGGAGATGAAGATAGTACTATTAAGTGTTGACCTTTTGGGGTTCTTCTTTGGTGAATCCAAACCTCCTGCCACATTCGTCCCTTCCAAAGTAGTGTTTGCATTGGAACTTTGTGAGAGAAGTAACCAGAGGACAGAGCAGGGATTACAGCTTTGTTGTTCCTTTTCTGGGTTTAGCTGGGTGACGCTTCCAATGCATGAAGTTTAGCGTTCTACACTCCACAGTCGGTGATTAAATGTCATTGTACTTAAAGTTCATCAAATAATAATAACTGTGGCTTACATTTGTAGAACACTTCAGAGCTTACACTGTGCTTTTCTGTCTGTTTTCCATATATTATCTCACTGGATCTTTAAAGAATTGACCTAGGTCAGGTATTACCTTCATTTTATTTAATTTTATTTTTATAGCTTAAAGAGTTTTAATCAAAACAGCATAATTTTGTGGTTTTTAAACCTGTGTCTTATTTTAAAAAACACAAAGAATGACTATTACAAAATTAAAGGTGAACAATCAAAGCACTTAGTTCCTTTAAACAAAAAAGTTAGTAGTCTATGATGAAACAACTAATACTTTTTGGATTACTCCAATTTAAGAATATCCAAATATCTCAAGACATAAAATCTGTGTGCTTCTGTCTTTCACTCCTATGAACTTATTTGAACTGAGATTTTATATAATTCCACAGGGAAAATAAATAAAAAAATAATCTTGGTATTGCACTAGAATCAGAAATATTCCTAATAAAGGATATGTGATAAAGAATTGAATTCTTCTATTAAGATATTTTATATCCAAAATGTATAATAAAAATGTAGGATTAAATATATTATTTTGATCTTAATAAATTAAAATGATTTAAGTGTCTAATATTTTTGTTACTTTATAAGGTTAGCATCATTTTAAAGATAAAAAATCTTTAAAATGAATTGACTTGGCCAAGATTAAATAGCATAGTTGGAGGCAGAACTGTGCCTTTACTCAATTCTTATAGACCTGCATTTCTTTTACCAGCTTCTTAAAATATATACATATTGATTTTCTACATATATGTATATACAAGATCTGACAATTAAGTTTGCGAACTCATCCTAGAAAAGGTGCTACGTACCTCACTGCTGAATATCATTACTGTTACCTTTAAAGTCCTCCCCTTGGGAAGCTATGCACCAATGCTAGTACCTAGTCCACCCTTCAAAGCAGTTTAGGAACTCTTTCTGGAATGACCATTAGAGCTGTCATCGTATTACCCTTGATGTCCTGAATATCATCAAAATGTCTTCCTTTCAATATTTCCTTTATCATCAGGTAAAGAAAGAAGTCACTGGGGGCCAGATCAGGTGAGTAGGGAGGGTATTCCAATACAGTTATTTGTTTACTGGCTGAAAACTCCCTCACAGACAGTGCCATGTGAGCTGGTGCATTGTCGTGATGCAAGAGCCATGAATTGTTAGCGAAAAGTTCAGGTCATCTAACTTTTTCACACAGTCTTTTCAGCACTTCCAAATAGTAAATTTGGCTAACTGTTTGTCCAGTTGGTACAAATTTATAATGAATAATCCCTCTGATATCAAAAAAGGTTAGCAACATCGTTGCAATAAGTTCGTAAATTTAATTGTCAGACCTCGTATATAATCTTGACATGTTTAAGCAAACTGTCTACGTTATTAGAGATAACCACACACTATAACTCCCAGGATAGAAGCATTATGGAAACTTACCAAACCTTTTGCTTTGCAGGAGCCAAAGGAGACAGGGGACCCCCAGGCTTGCCTGGCCTCCCCGGCAGGAAAGGGACAGTGGGAGATGTTGGGCCAAGAGGACCCACTGGTGTGGCAGGACCCCCAGGGCCACCAGGTTACCCTGGTGCAATCATCTCTGGCCAGAAAGGAAACCGGGGTCCACCAGGTCCAAGAGGAAACCCAGGTAGAGGATCTGCTTTTAAATAAAAGAATGAATATAACATTAGACATCAGAAGCTTTCATACTTCCCCTCACGTGACTTTGTGGCTTGTTTTTCTTCCTCTGGCCTTTTCCATCTTCCCATATCCAAATCATTGTTGGTGTTGTTGAAGCAGAGTGGCCTGTTTAAAAAATTACCAAATACCTAATTCATGAGCCTAAAAGAGAGAGATGCATCCATTCACCCATATTGATTGAGCTCCTACCAGGTGTCCCGTACTGAGCTTGGCACAGCTCCTGCTCTAACAGACCTTCACCAGAGAAACAGTTTCCACCTTGTGCCAGGTGCTTCACTGGCATTATCTCATTCCATCTTTACCACAGTCCCATCAGAGTCCCAAAGGGAAAGAGTGTTCAGGGTAGTGGTAAGGTGCAGGGTTTGTGCTTCCTTCAGAAGAATCACTGACAACCTGCCAAGCTCCCTGACTGGCAACACTGACAGGCTCTTTGTGAATTCAGGTGAGCCTGGTCCCCCTGGACCTCCAGGAGGTCACGTAAAAGGCATAAAAGGAGACAAGGGATTTAAGGGCAGCCGTGGCCCAAGAGGTCCACCTGGAACTGTAGGAGACCCGGGGCCACCAGGCCATATGGTAAGTGTGGACAATTGTTTTGACTTCTTACATTCTTCCAAATCGATTTCCGGGATCAGATGTACAAGAGGCAACAAAAATATCCCATTTGTGATGCTTCTGTCCAGTGCACCCAAGGGAAGACAGAGTCTGAAAGGTTCAAAGAATCAGAGAATCTTAAGTGTTGGACAGATTCGGCCTCTAAGAAGCTCTGAAAGTTTCGTTCATAGGGCATCCTTCTCTGTGTCATTCCTGACCTTTTCTTCTTTAGACTTTTAACAATTCCAGTAATGGAAGCTTCAAAAGTTTGGAATTACTCCAGATGACAACATAATTTGTCTCTATTAATATACTTTCATAATTATCTGTGCTATCCCTAAATGTCTATTTCTTTTCTCCCCACGACATACTTTCCAGTATTGTAAATAGCTGCCATTTCCTTCCAAATATTTTCTCCCCTGATACATACATGTATTTTGCAAATTCAGTGTAACCTTTGATCAACCCTGCCTCTATTCTGAATATATACACTAGTTTGTCACTATATCCCTTAAAAATGCAGGCTATGGGATGAACACCCTACAGGGTAGGAACTCAGTACACCATGGACTAACTAGCTAATGGAGGGAAGCGTCTCACTACCCTGATTATCACCATTTTATAACCCAACCTAAAATCCACGTGGGCTGTTTGGCTGTCACATCACCATGTTGTCATCACACACTGAGCTTATAGTCAACAAAGGCCCATGTGCCTTTTCCTCATGAACTGCTACTAAGCTTTATCCATTGTTCCTTGTCCATTTGTTGATTTACGACTCCAATGCTGAGCTTTCACACTGATCTGTCTTCAGTGTCATCTTGTTCATTTAGGCTCTTGCTCGCAGCCTATGACCATCTCTCAGCTCAGAGCCTCTCACGGAACACCTCGGCCATTTTCCCTCGAGCTTTATTTTAACGGCATATTTGAAAAGCCTGATTCCTCTGTTTACATCACATTCTTGGAGACTGATAAGGAAATCAGTTTTGTCATAGGTGCCCTGTATTTTCATCAGTGATGGGTAATGGAGTACTTTAGTATGGCTTATTGTCAGGGATCATGTTAAGCTGGCTTAAGATCTCTTGGTATTTTGGTTTCCAGAATGTACTCTAAAACCTTTTGGTTTTTTAATGAGATATTTGCTGATCTCTAGTCTTATGTGTCTCTCATGTTCTCCATGATTCTTTGAAAGTGGCAAACACTGATCCTATGATCACATCAGAAGTCCTTCCAAGTACACTGGGATGTGGGCAGTCTGGTTTGGAGATGTGATCTCACTTAAACCTTCTGGGGATCCCAAGGTCAGGCTAGGCTGCTACATTTGAACTTGAAAGATAATTCTTCTTGATGGATGTCTAATTTGGCTCAGTGCCTTTACTAGCTCTCTCCTTGCATGGACCAGCCACCTCCCCAACCAAGGGTTGGGCCTGGCACCAGGCCCTTCTCCCTGGTGACCTTCACCGCTGGGGAACAGCCAAACCTCAGAAGCCTGGGAGTCCTTGATCAAATGGTCCTGTTTTCTCTCCCTCCTTGACCTTATGCAAGCAATAGGACGGCGTTTTTGTTTGGTCTTTTTGCTCCAAAGACAGCTGGCTCAAAGGCCAATCTTGTTATTTTAGACATTTTTCATGTTCATTGTTTTCAAGCAATAACATTCTATCTCAATTCACACGGCCAGTAGAAGAGTCGATTTAACATACAGTCTGACATATGGCTCTTTTTGGAAATCCTGCTCTGTCCCCTCTTCTCCTATGTCCTTGCTTGAGCATCTCATGGCTACAAGAGCAATTAGGGTGAACCTCATGGGGAGAGAGCATCTCCTCTCTGTCAGATCACTGCCTCCCTCCCAAAAGTGTGTGTCAAAACTCCCCTGAGAGCCCCTCCATGCTCCCATCCCTGCACGCTTTACTTCTTTCACCACCCTGACCAAGAGTAATTTATAACCCTGCCAGCTTAGTTAGAACCACGGTGGGTGCTACAATTCACCACGCCATGGCTCTGCTGTCTTTGCAAGAATTACAAATACAGATTACAGTTTTCATTCTGGCAGGCTGGTGCCTGTTCTTCCTGTCCAGTTGTATCCAGTACTCACACAGCAGACGTGAGCCTCAGAAGTTAGGTTTGGTCTTGGGCTTAAAGGTAGTTTTTTTTTTCTTTTCTCTTGAAAATGACAGTCCTAAGGAGAGGTTTGGGAGGCACAGGAGTTACAGGAAGTGAGACACTGGATTGGAAGGTAAAAGTGAAGTCTGTGAACTTCAGCTCATTCTTACCCAGGGTAATAGCATATCCTATTTGCTTTTTTAAAAACGCAGTGAATAGTGTGATTTTTAAAATGTGTGGTTCTGCTCCCTTTTATTTGACATATAGGGAGCATCAGGTCTGCCAGGTCCGCCAGGGTCCAGAGGTGATCCCGGATTCCAAGGATTTCCAGGCATAAAAGGTACTGTTTTTATGTGCTTCTCTTTGGATACAGATACGATGAATAAGATTCATATTTCAGGGCACACAAATGTTTACTGAGTTCCTACAGTCACCATAAACAGTTGGGGTGAGTACAGGTGGACCTCAGTATGAGTGAAGAAGGAAGACTCCACCGGCACCCAATCTCAGGGGGCTTAAAATGCAAAACCATACCTTAAAGAGGGAAACTATAGAAAAGCGAACAGAAACAGTTTAAAGTGGTTGCCTGGGAGAGTGTTTATGTGTTGAGGGATGGGGAAACGTTAATATCAACAGTATTGCTTTGAATTGTTTATGTTCCCTTGTGCATGGGCTACAATTTTTAAATGCTGAAAATCTCAAAGAATATTCACCAAACTCTTGGTTAATGGGGGAGGGTAATTTTTTACATGCGGATTTAAGCATTTGTATTTTTATGGGGGCATGTGTATTATGTTTTTAATTAAAAAAACTATACTTTTGGGATTTTTAAGTTTAAAATGTTCATACACATAAACTTCAAGTTTCAGAAAATAATTCTCAAATCTCCCATAAGGGTGTTATGACCTTAAATAAGGTTTTGAATATTGGATTTTTTGCCTTCCCTGGTTCAGTCCTATGGTATTTTTTTTTTTGGTATGGCAGGGCATCTATTGTAGACTATAAGATGCTAAATAGTAAGTGTAGCCAAAGTGAACAAAGCCAGATTTTCACAAAGGAAAACTTCTCCCAGGTCTAAGAGAGAGGATAAGGAGTTCAAAGAGAGTCCTTGCATTGCTTTCAACCACTGCCTTTACAAGGAGCAAATTAGCTAGGAATGAATGAAAGCACCTGATTCTCGCGGAGCCTCACTGCACCCTAGGCGGGTGAACGCTGGCAGGCAGCCAGGGGGAAATGTGTGCACCACCTGTCACTTCCCCAAGCCTCACAGGAGGAATATCTAAGATTTGAACAGTTATATAAAGGCCCGACTAGGTAGAAAACATTCTGGTGAGATATTTAGAGGCATTTAGAGGGGAGATTCATAAAATCAGTTCTCTTGAAATATGTTCCATGAAACATTCAAGTACTCTTAGATTTTAGAATAAAACCATCCATTAGCTGGCACTACTAACGAGTCTGCATTTTTTTATTCAGACAGTTTTCTTCTCCAAAGGGAAAAACACTTAGGCGGTTTCTGGGGGCATATAAGTAAACATTAACGCCTTCTTCAAGTTCTGATCAAGTGGATAATTCCTAGTGTAGTTGCCACTTAACCTTCAGGAGTATAATTGTTTTGTTTCTTCTATGAATATCATATTTAGTATTAAAATCTTTCTAAGAATCATATGTAATGTCTACATTACTTCAAGATTTTTATAAGAGAGTATTTCTCCAAATCAATGGTTCTTGGTAACCTTTTATTCATGTCAAAGACTGGGGGAGAAATCTTACCACTTTGATAGCTTATATCAAAGCAGATATGCGCTCATGAGGAGTTCCCAACATAACTAACTCTGAGCTATTAGTAAAGCTAGAGTAATAAACTGAGAAAATAAGTAACTATGACAACCAACATTAAAACCACTAGGTTTTAATGTCACCTTTTATTTTACCTTCAATATTAAATTGAATTGGTTCTGAACTTAAATAGTGAACTCCTAGGAACTCTTCCTCCTCAATGCTAAAATACAAGTTCTCAATGCCTATTTCTTGAATATGTTTTTCAATAGACATTAAATTTGACTGATTGGATCCAAACGAAATGCCAAAACCCACGTGAATATAATGAAATTACAGGCTGTCACAGAGCTCATAGCCTCATCATAACTTCCAGTAACTCTTCTTTGAGTTGATCATTGTTTGACATGAACAGCTAGGAAACAGGGAACCCATTGTTCTAAGGGGAATCATATTACATTTTTTTTTTAGGAGAGAAGGGTAATCCAGGATTTGTAGGATCAATTGGACCTCCAGGGCGAATTGGACCAAAAGGACCTCCAGGTAAATATTATTTCCTTAGTACGGCTCTCCATGAAGAAAGGGAAACTCATCAGTGAAGCCATCGTCTTCTTATGTTCATGTCAACAGGTGCACGTGGAGACCCTGGCACCATTAAGGTCATCTCCCTTCCAGGAAGCCCAGGGCCACCGGGCCCAGCTGGAAAACCGGGGATGCAAGGAGACCCTGGGCCACCGGGGCCACCGGGACACCTAGGTGTGGTGCTGGCAGCACTGACTTGGATCACTAGGAAGTGGTTAAACCAGCAAATGATATCACTTCACAGAAAATGTTATATATTATAGTGTGTTTTTGCAATTAGAATTGAGCTAATGTTGCTCTTGACCAGCAAATAAAAGACCTTTTGAATATACTGAAAGCTCTTGTGCCTACTGTAAACTTGAGCAAATACACTTCATGGCACTTATGGGTTTTTTTCATTAAGGTAAAAATATTATGTCTATCTTCTCTGACAATTGTTGGACTTAGAGCTCTAATTGATTGCCTGAATTAGCCTGACGTCTCTGTATTGACACTTTTCTAACACTTTATACAGCACTTGGGAAAGGAGTCAATACAAATGTAGGCTTAATTTTATGATATCTTTTCAAAATATAGGTGTATGAAAATTGAACTACCCCCCCCCCATATATAGGTTTAGCGTATTGTAATAGATTCTGAATGGAATTGTTATGGCCTAAGTTTGCGTGAGTTACTTGGGACACAAGAGGGATATTACTTTGATCCACACAAGGGCATTAGTGAATTCTGGAACAGCATAAATCAAAATGGCAGCACAATTTTAAAATGCTGTATTTCATTTACTCCTAGTTCATTTTAGAGGGTCTTTTTTTTTGTCCTGGGAAGCAGGGTATAGCAAGGTGGATGACCAACTGTCCCACTTTGCTTGGGGCTGAGGATCTGCTCAGTTTGCAGAACTTACATTGCTGAAACTGGGGAAGTCCCAGGCAAACTGGAATAGCAGGCCACCCCACCTTGTATCCTGTGTGAACCATTCAATGCAATCACTATTATTATCATTTTATTTATTTATTTATTTATTTATTTATTTATTTTGGCACAGGACCCTGTGGGCCAAGAGGTAAACCAGGCAAGGATGGAAAACCAGGAACTCCTGGACCACCTGGAGAAAAAGGCAACAAAGGTTGTAAAGGAGAGCTAGGTACGCTAATGGCTGGCTTGCTTCCTTCATTGAAGGAGTCTTGTCTTGGTAGACACAGAAGTCGTATTTGAATATGTCACTACAAGAGTTAGCGAGGTCTTCCAGTGTGTGTGGTTCAGATTAGACTAAAAACCAGTAGGTAAACATTCATTTGAAAGATGAAATTCAAGAGTTATTACAATACACCATTCTTCCTACCCCCTAACTGGGCAGATGTACCCCAGAATCTTAGGCTGAGGACAAAGAGACCTAATGAAGCACTAATTCTATTTTCAGAAAGACCAATACCGTTTTTAATTATTTATAGCAGCACTTAGTTAATAATATCGACTTCTAGGAGTAGTACATAAGTACATAGAAAAATATTATCTTGATGTGAATAGAGGAGCAACTTAGAATTGCATGTAGGAAAGCCCTCTTTTACCTGTGCCATTCTTAAATATAACTTGTGTATATCCTGAAAAAAGGCCTCTTAAATATTTTGCCTGAACATGAGCTATATGTTCACCTGGATCAAAATCTACTTTCTGCAAAAGTTTCAAAAGCACTTTCTAGAAAATATCTAGATGTCCAAATCTTATTTTTTAGGATTGCTGACTTTGTTAAAATAAGAAAAAATTATTAATGTGATTTCCCAATTTACTGACCTATGCCCAGATCTAGTATAATAAAACTGTAAAGTCTAGAGTTTTAAATCTTTAAAAACTCAAATATAATATTAATTGCATAATCACTCATAATTTAGGATTGTCAGAAGAGTACTTTAGAGCACCACAAATCTTCCTTTAAATGTGTTTTTCAATGTGGCAAAAAAAACAAAAACAAAAACAAGTCTTAATAATTCTGTTACTTAAAAACCTTTACTAAATGTTTCAGAATGAGGCCACAGCAACAGCAAGAGTGCTACAGTACAAAATGTATTGAACATGATTAGCAAGTAGACATATGTTAATCCTAATGCTATAAAGGCCTCATAACAATGAGAAAGGGACTGAAGAGTCTGACAGCACCAATACAAAATGGCAGCCTTGGCCTTTTTAGGAAACGTGGAATATCGTAGGATCATGCATCTTTGCATAACAGCTCACCTCCAGTTTCTGTCATGCTTAGCTAATTACTTCACAAGTCCTATGCAGAGACCTGAAGGCATCTTCTGCTTGGAGCCAGTTAGAGCCCCCTTTGAATGAAGGTAGATATTGGGAGTAGTGGAGACACTTTCTCTATCTAATATATTTAAAACATGGCACTTTAGGACTTTTCCAGTAAAACATGAGTCTGACGAATTTGGACATGGCTTATTTTTAATTTCAAAGAATGAGCCAAGGATCCAAAAGATAGGAATGGGTGAGAAAACTGAAAAAATTATTGGGGCTTGAACAAATCCTTGTAAAAAGTTCTGACTTCCAAGTTAGGGCTAAACTAGGGCATGGCCTGACTCCACAGTGTGTTTGTTCATGGGCAACAATACCTCCCTTGACTCGGGAGGCCAAAGATCCAACCGTCTCTGCCCTCTCTGCATTTCCTTAGGACCCCAAGGGACCATGACCCAAATCAGGCTGGGGTGGGGCTCAGGATGCAGTGGCAGCGGGAATGGATGAGGGGTGTTGAGGAGTGGTAACCTGTGCCAACATCATAAATAATAGGTATCTGATGAAGAAAGGAGGAGGAAAAGGATAGGTCGCTGGTCCTTATTTAGAAAGTGACAGATATGTATGAACTACCCTGCTCCAAGTGCAGAGAAAACCAAAGTAAAAAAAATTACTTACTTTGGTTTTAACACAGATAAACTAACCCTTAAGATAATAAGATAATAAAAAAAAGTCTTCTGCTCTTATTTGCCTTACTAATTGATCAAAACTTTCCTTGAAGTTTGCATCTTTAAGAGGAACTTGTAATGTTCTCCATGTTTATTGAATTTATGATAAGCTCGTGTAATTTTTTATCTTCTTGAGTGGATTTTCAAATTGTAGGTATTTGATTTCTTGTTCCCCACATTATAGGACGATATGTTCACTAATTCATAAAAGATGTACGTAAGACCCCTGTGCTATACACCACAGGGAAATACAAAGATAAAGACTTGATTTCAAAAAATTCATCATGTGAGCCGGCCGAGTAGCTCTGTTGGTTAAGAGCTCACTCAAGAGTTTGCACTCTGAGCAACAGCAGTTTGATTCTCGGCCCGAGCTGAGCAGCCGCTGAGCTGCCAACAGGTGGCAGGATGGCTCAGCTTAAAAAAAAAAAAAATTCATCATGAGATATATACAAATATCTATAAAAATGGGCATTGTGTGACATTAGTTAACACTGAATAATCCTGTTTGGCCGTTTCGTAAGCCACTATTGTTTACGAATCCTTCTGTGTTTGGGGAGTATCCGATATAAACACTTAAATTAGTACTATAAGGCAAGTGTGAGGTTGTGTTTGTGTTCCAATACATATAACATGTTTCTTAAAGGACCACCTGGATTCGATGGCCCGCCAGGTTTGAAGGGGAAACCTGGAGACATCGGACCTCCTGCAGCCAGGATAATGATGAGAGGCTTCCTTTTCACCCGGCACAGTCAGACCACAGCGGTTCCCTCCTGTCCGGAAGGGACAGAGCCGCTCTACAGTGGGTTTTCTCTTCTTTTTGTACAAGGAAATGAACGCGCCCATGGACAAGACCTGGGTAATGTCCCAGTCCCAATTTCTAGTCACTTCGTTCTACATACAGATTGTAAACTGTTATGGCATGGGGTACTTCTCTCTGAAGGATAAACAACCTTGGGCATCTTACAGTACGTTTTAAAGAGTGAATAAAACATTGGCCTCATGTCTGTTCTGGAATGTGAAGCTCTGTTTAATGAAAGTACAGTTGACATACAATATTATATTAGTTTCAGGTGTAAAATAGTGATTTGATACGAAATGATCACCATGAGAAGTCTAGTAACTATTTGTCACTGTACAAAGTTATTGAGACATTGACTATATTCCCTGTGCTGTACATTATGTCCCCAAGATTTATTTATAAGTTTGCACCTCTTAATCCCCGTCACCTTTTTGTGCATTCCACCCACTGCCCAGCCTTCTGGCAACTATCAGTTTGTTCTCTGTATCTATGAGTCTGTTTCTTTCATTTTGTTTGTTCATTTGGCTAGTTTAGATTCCACATATAAGTGAAATGATTCAGTATTTGTCTCTCTCTGACTTATTTCACATAGCATGACACCCTCTTGGTCCATCCACATTGTCACAAATAGCAAGACTTCATTCTTTTTTATGGCTGAGTAATATTCTATTGCATATACATCTTCTTTATCCATTCATCTATTGATAGACACTGAGGTTGCTTCCATGTCAAGGCTATTGTAAATAATACTGCAGAGAACATAAGGGCGCCTATATCTTTTTGAATTCGTTTTTTTGTTTTCTTAGGATAAATACCCAGAACTGAAATTGAAGAATTGTGTGGTAGTTCTAATTTTAATTTTCTTAGGAACCTCCATACTACTTTTCATTGTGGCTGCACCAATTTACAATCCCACTAACAGTGTGCAAGGGTTCCCTTTCACCACATCCTTGCCAACACTTGTTTCTTGTCTTTTTGATGACAGCTGTTCTGACAGGTGTGAGGTGATATCATTGTGGTTTTTACCTGCATTTCCCCAAGTAGTAAAGTTGAACACCTTATCATGTGTCTGTTCGCCATGTGCATGTTTTCTTTTTGGAGAAATGTCTGTTGAGGTTTTTTGCCCATTTTTGAATTGGATTATTTGGTTTTTTGATGTTGAATTCTTTATGTATTTTGGATATTAATCCAAAATTTGATTTTGATGATATTTTGTTTTTTGATGTTGAGTTCTTCATATATTTTGGATAATCCCTTATCAGATATATCATTTGCAAATATCTTCCCCCATTCAGTGGCCTTTTCGTTTTGGTTTCCTTAGCTATGCAAAAACTTTTTGGTGTAATGTAGTCCTATTTGTTTTTTATTTTGTTGCCCTTGCCCAAGGAGACACATCCAAAAATATACTTCTAACACTAATGTCAGAGTGTACTGCCTATGTTTTCTTCTAGTTTTATGGTTTCAGGTCTTATATTTAAGCCTTTAATCCATTTTGAGTTTATTTTTGTATAAGCTGTAAGAAAGTGGTCCTGTTTTTCCAACACCATTTATTGAAGACTTTTCTCCATTGTATATTCTTGCCTCCTTTGTTGTCAATTTAATTGATTATATAAGCGTGGGCTTATTTCTGGACTCTATTCTGTTCCATGGATCGATGTGTTTTTGTCCCGGTACCATACTGTTTTGATTACTAAAGCTTTGTAGTATAGTTTGAAATCAGGCAGAGTGAGGTCTCCAACTTCAATTTTATTTACTTTTGTTCTGGTCTTTATTATTTCCTCCCTTCTACTAACTTTGGGCTTTATTTGTTCTTCTTTTTCTAGTTCCTTTAGGTGTAGGGTTAGATAATTTGAGACTTTTCTTGTTTCTTGAGGTAGGCCTCTATTGCTATACACTTCCCCGAGAAAGGCTTTTGTGGTGTCCCATAGATTTTGTAACATTGTTTCCATTTTCATTTGTCTCAAGGTGTTTTGATTTCCTTTGATTTCTCCACTGACCCATTGGTTGTTTAGTAGCATGTTGTTCAGCCTCCCATGTGTTTTTTTGCAGTGTTCCTTTTATAATTGATTTCTAGTTTCATACTATTGTGTTCAGAAAAGATGCTTGATATTTCAATCTTCTTAAATGTATTGAGACTTTTTTTGTGGACTAACATGTGATGCATTCTGATGTGTACTTAGAAAGAATATGTATTCTACTGTTTTCACATGGAATGTTCTGTACATATCTATTAAGTCCATTTAGTCTAATATGTCACTTATGGCCAATGTTTCTTTGTTGATTTTGTCTGGATAATCTATCCACTGATGTAAGTGGGGTATGTAAATTCCCTACTATTATTGTATTACTCCATTCATGTGTTAATATTTGCTCTATGTATTTAGGTGCTCCTATGTTGGGTTCATAGATGTTAACAAGTGTTATCTCCTCGTTGGACTGATCTCCTTATCATTATGTCTTACCCTTGTCTCTTGTTATAGTCTTTGTTTTAAAGTCTATTTTGTCTAACTTATGCTACCCCAGCTTTCTTTTCATTTCTGTTTGCACACACTGTCTTTTTCCACCCCTTCACTTTCAGTCTGTGTGTTTTTAGATCTGAAATGAGTCTCTTGTAGGCTGCATATGTGTGGGTCTTGTAATTTCTATCCATTCAGCCACCTTATGTCTTTTGAATGAAGCACTCATTTACAATTAATTATTGATACATATGTCACTTATTGCCATTTTCTTTCCATATTGGCTTTACAAATGGTTGGTCTACTACCTTTACTATATAGGTTTGCCTTTACTAGTGAGATTTATTTTTCTTTCATAAAATTTCTTATTTCTAGTTATGGACTTTTCTTTCCCACTTACAGAATTCCCTTTAACATTTCTTGTAATGCTGATTTAGTGGTGATGAACTCTTTTAGCTTTTGCTTGTCTGGGAAACTCTTTATCTCTCCATCAATTCTGAATGATAACCTTGCTGGGTAGAATATTCTTGGTTGTAGGTTTTTCTTTTCATCACATTGAATATATCTCACCATCCCTTCTGGCCTGCGAAGTTTCTGCCGAAAAATCAGCTTAAAGTCTTATGGGGGATTCAATTCCATTGTAACTAGTTTTCTCTTGCTGCTTTTAAGATTCTCTCTTTATCTTTAACTTTTGACATTTTAATTATTGTGTGCCTTGGTATTCATCTTGTTTGGGAGTCTCCTTGCTTCTTGGACTTGGATGTCTGTTTCCTTTGCCAGGTCAGGGGAGTTTTCAGCCATTATTTCTTCAAATAGGTTTTCTGTCCCTTTCTCTCTCTCTTCTTCCAGGACCCCTATGGTGTGAATGTTAGAACGCTTGATGTTGTCCCAGAGTTCCCTTAAGCTATCCTCATTCTTTCTCATTCTTTTTTCATTTTGCTCTTCCAGTTGGGTGATTTCTACTATCCTGTCTTTCTGACAGCAGTTACATTCTTCTGCATCACCTGATCTGCTGTGGGTTCCCTCTAGTGTATTTTTCACTTCAGTTATATTCTTCAGTTCTGATTGGTTCTTTTTTACATTATTTATCTCTTTGTTGAAGTTCTCATTGCATTGACCCACTTTTCTGCAGAGTTTGATAAGTATCTTTATGATTGTTGCTTTGAACTCTATCTAGTAGACAGTTTACCTCTGTTACATTTAGTTATTTTTCTAGGGTCTTGTTTTTTTGGTTGGAACATATCCTTTAGTTTCCTCATTTTACCTGTTTATTTCTATGTGTTAGGTAGATCAGCTATGTCTCCTGGTCTTGAAAATGTGGCCTTATATAGAAAGTGTCCGTTGAGGCCCAGTGGTGCAATCCCGCCTAGTCCCAGAACCAGGTGCTCCAGAGGTGTCCGCTATGTGGACCAGTGTGGCTCCTGTTGTAGCTGGGCCACAACTGCTATGGATGCACTGGCAGTCAAGGCCAGTCCCTGGCTGAGGCCTGGCCACAGCTGTTGTGGGTATGCTGGTGTGCAGGGCAACCCCCATTCCCTGGTGCAGTTGGCTATTGGATTGGACTGCAATTGCTGCTGGCATGCTGGTATGCAAGATGGGCCTCTGGTGTGGCTGGCTGCAAGGCCCAACTTCAATTGTTGCTAACACACTGCTGTGTGCTGATGCCAGCTGAGTCTGCCCACCAGGTCTAGTGAGGCAGGGTCCGCTTTGAGGGGATACCAGTGATGGCTGAGGCTAAATCACCTGCTTTTTTTAAAAAAATTTTATTTTATTTTAACTTTATTGGGAAACAGTGTGTTTTTCCCAAGACCCATCAGCTCCAAGTCAAGTTGTTGTCCTTTAATCTCAGTTGTGGAGGACGCAGCTCAGCTCCAAGTTCAGTCGCCATTTTCAGTCTAGTTGGTGGAGGAGTGCAGCCCACCATCCCATGTGGCAGTCGAACTGGCAACCTTGTTAAGAGCACGCACTCTCACCAGCTAAGCCATCCTGCTGCCCACCTGTCTGCTTTTTAACTGTAAAACTAACATCTCCTCTAAAGCTTTATCTGGTTATTAGTTATTATATGCATATGAAGAAATAGGAATACTTTGACATAAAGACATTTTTCCAAACAGCCTTTACTAGTCCTCAAGTTCTACATTAATTAGCAAGGGCCACAGGAAGTATTAATGGTGGAAAAGGATTTGTTTGCCTATTCGGTCTTTGATTTCTATCATTATTAAAACCTCCATAACACATTTTGCAAGTAACTCTTTTGTGCTGTCTTCCTTCAAGTTTTGCCATAGGTTATGTTTTAATTTTTAATTAGCCTCTATCTAGAAATGATACTCAAAATAATTTAAATTTACTGAAAGTGATACTGTCTGATATCTTATTAGGAACTCTTGGAAGCTGCCTACAGCGATTTACCACAATGCCATTCTTATTCTGTAACATCAATGATGTATGTAATTTCGCATCTCGAAACGATTATTCATACTGGCTGTCAACACCAGCTCTAATGCCAATGGACATGGCTCCAATTACTGGCAGGGCCCTGGAGCCTTATATTAGCAGGTAAAAATTCAATCCCTTAGTTTTGTGACAGGACCAGGTGAATCACTTCATTTGTAATGGAGCTGTGGGCAGCACATCACAGTGCAGAAAGTGGCGATGCCACCATATCCATTGTTTCACTTTACAGGTGCACTGTCTGTGAAGGTCCTGCGATTGCCATAGCTGTTCACAGCCAATCCACTGACATCCCCTCATGTCCTCATGGCTGGATTTCTCTTTGGAAAGGATTTTCTTTCATCATGGTAAGGAGAAAAGGAAGAGCAAATTCATAGTAAAGATTTCCTGCAGAATCTTGAATGCCTACCCCCACACCCAGAAAGGTGCCTAACATTGATATGTGCAATATGCCACGCACATTTGCTTGAAAATCTGAAAATATACCCTTTTTTTAAAAAAGCAGTATGTTGGGTTTTGGTAAATAATGGAGTATTTTAAAAAACAGACTTCTCAGATTACCCACAAATTCTAGTAAGACATTTAGGTGAATAGTAGCTACCACACTGGTAATAAAATGTGTATTTTTAATGTGGCATGTGTTTTATATACGTCCTCCATAATCCTTATGAAAACATTGCAAGGTACTTACTATCATACAGATTTATTAAAAAAAAAAAGAGTAATTTCCCCAAGGTCTCACAGCTAGTAAATGCTAAAGCTAGGATTTGCACCCAAGTCTGTCTGCTCCAAAATCTCTATGCCTTACACTGTACCCCTTTAACATTCATATTTAGATGGAAACTGAGAGAAATAGCCTTTTAAAGAAAAATTCCCCAGATGTAAATGCTAAATGAAGAATCTGAGCTTGATAGCTGCACATATGTGCAGTGGTAATTAATATTCTATATAGCATCACTTATGATACATTATTCCCCCTTCTTTACTCACAGATATCCATTCATTAAATCACAAATTCAACAAATATTTATTGAACACCTACCATGTGCCATGAATGTTCTAGGCACTAAGGATACCAGCAGTGAACCAAAGTCCCTTCTCTCATGGAGCTTATATCCTAGTGGGTAAGGTAGACAATAAGCAAGAAGACACAGTAACAACAATAGCAGTGAGTTCGGATGGTGCATGGTACTATGAAGGACATAGGCAAAACAGGGGAGAGACTGACAGGGATGGATGAGGCCAAGGAAAGCCTTTTGGAAGTTATATTTAAGCAGATCCCTGAACGACAAGGACAAACAAGTCTCACCTAGGGGGAAGGAGCATTCCAGGCAGAATAATCGGCTTTTTCTTTCTTTTTGATGACTATACCTCAACTTGGAAAGTAACTGGAGTGTTAGTAAAGCTGGGTAAAGAAGCACAAGTTTAACTCACGCTTTTTTTCCCTTATAGTCTTCTATTACCAAAAAAAAAAAAAAGTACTGAAAATTTCAACATCATGCACAGAATTCATTCAGATAAAATTTTTATTGATAGTTTACAAGTGCAGGTTCTGAGGGTGCTGGCCAAGCTCTCGCGTCTCCTGGATCCTGCCTGGAAGAATTCCGAGCCAGTCCATTCATAGAATGTCATGGAAGAGGAACATGCAACTACTATTCAAATTCCTACAGTTTCTGGTTGGCTTCATTAAACCCAGAAAGAATGTTCAGGTAATTATTCAAAGTCAAGTTGAATCTAATGACTCAACTGCAAAACTATTAAAAGGTTGCCGATGTTAGATTTTCATTACCTTACAAGTATCAAGTAGCCATGGTTTTGTACTACTGTACCAATAAAAGCAAAAAAAAAAAAAGTTATTTTTGCCATCACTAGAGATACTTAATATTTATATATAAATATATAGTAAATTACTGAATAAAACCACAAAATGATCTGCTAATCTTAATTTACTGTACTTGAGAACTTTTCAGACAAACTATTTAAAGGGTAGGCGTTTTCATTTAAAAAAGATGATCTGTTAAGTTTGCATCAAGGCCTGTGCTTTCCTTGGAGCTACTGAAATTGACTAAAATCATAAATTGTTGAAATATATGCCTTCTTAGAAATACACTTCCTGTAACAGAGTTTAGATGAGCCCCAATATGCATTAATAAAACAACCCCAGCAAGTATTTCCTTTTTATCTACAAATCGATGAGATTTTGTTTTTGTTTTTTATTTCAGAAAACCTACTCCTTCAACTGTGAAAGCTGGAGAGTTAGAAAACATAATAAGTCGCTGTCAGGTGTGCATGAAGAGAAGGCATTGAAGAAATCAAAGAAAATGGAACTGTTATTTTTCATCCTGCATAACCAAGTAATGACACAGAACATGCATTTAGGTATTTCTCTCTAACCAAACAATATTGCTCTGTGATGGCTTAGCACGAAGTTTCTGTTGGCTTCCCCATACACCAAAGCATTTCTTCTGTGATCCTGGTCTCGAAATTCTGTGCTGTTTCAAAGTTCCCTCTGGCAAGGCAGCAAACTTTTCACAATATCTCTGAAATTGTATTCTACTTGTACCCAATGCACTTTCTAAGTGGTGATTGTATAGTTTGATGCTACAGGAGCTATTTGGTCCACTAAATTCCCAAGATTTGCCCCTTTCTATTCCAGTCTTTGAGACTCAGGGAGGCTACATCAGTTTTAGATTGCCCCACCACCCTCTTCCTGAAACTTTAGATCCTAAGTAGAGATGGGGGCAAGTGGAGTATCAGGCATCATTGATAGAACTGGACTTTTAGATCTGTTGATTAATCTAAGGCCTAAAGGAAGCAGAATTGAACTGAGGTTCATGGATTACCTAGAGCTTTTAAACATGCCCAAGGTTCCCTGAATGGAATTACAATAGCCTTGGAAACACTATGGTTTTGTTTTGTTTTTTAAGTTTGTTTGTCCATTGAATTCATTTCACTGCAGCAATATAGCCTGCTTGTATTCAAAGTAGGCACAATTTTTACCCTTAGTGAATTAATTATAATAGAATATTTTTGCACAGTGCTCTGAAGTGTCTAATTTTAGATGTGCTTTCTCCTCATCCCTGTAAATGTTGGTGCATATAATTGAGTAGCTCAGTAGTCCATGAAAAAACTTAAGGCATCTGTTGACTAATCAGGCTCAGGATATTTTTCTTTGTCCTAAATATTCCATATAACTTGGGTATTTATAGAGATTTATTTCCTTGTGACTTCTCTAATTCTTTTTTTTGTGAAAACGTTTTTTTATATTACATATTCTTTCAAACCATATTGAGAAAGTCAGTTGTGTAGAAATCTTAATGTACAAATTTGTACAGCTTGGCAGCTGTGTCTTAAAACTTGCTTTTCAGTGTGTTGATACATTGCCAAGGTTACTTAATTCAACTTAAGCATTTTATTCAGCACCAAGCCATACCCCAGGCACTGTGCTAACTAAATTGTAGAGATACTAAGAGGAAAAAAAGAGAGAGAGACTTGTTTCTAATATCCCAGAAAAGGTAACTACTGTTTCTGTTAAGAGTCTCACATACCTGAGTTGTTTTACCCTTTTCTCCCTTTATTTCTGTCCTTATATTTCACCATCATAATTCAGCATGGCTCAATAAAAGTTTGAAAATAAGATCTATGCCCAGGGAGAGCCTTGGACTTCTAGCTTCTCCTAGGCATGGCAGAAGCCAAGGTCTGGACAATGTTAAAACAAGGATGTGCAAAACATCAAAAACCATTTATACTTGACGCTACCACTATTTGACGAGTCACATCCTGAGACAAAGCTCGGAAGATGCTTCTCAATCCACCCAGGTGGAGTTGGGGGTGCTGATATTTAAATTCAAGTTTTATTGCTTCAACCTCAGTTGCTTTGCAAGTGAAGATGTGGCTCCAGAGGACTGTGGCCACACCCTCCACTGCTCCTGTGACTACTGTCAAGCCATTTTTACATTTACGCTAAGAAGAGCGTTTTAGATTCTTTACTTAGACTCACCTAATATGAAGACTTTTTGCTCTGAAAATATCCTACTGTCCCAATTGTACTTTAACGGCATATGGGGCTTAATGGATCTGCACAAACTCTTTGTAGACCAGTAGTTCTCAAAGTATGTCTGTGAACCAATGGCAACAGCAGTACCTGAGAACTTGTCACAAATCCAAGTTCTAGGGCCAACGCCTGATCTACAGAATCTGAAATTCTGGAGTGGCCCAGAAGTCTGTGTTTTAACAAGCCCTCCAGGTGATTTCCAACACACTCTAAAGCAGCGGTTCTCAACCTTACACAGGGGTTGCCTAAGACCATCGGAAAACACATATTTTCGATGGTCTTAGGAACCGAAACACCGCTCCTCTATCCGTCTCCAGGCCCACATGCAGATACGCCCACATACGAGTACCCGGCGACCCCTGTGAAAGGGTCGTTCGATCCCCAAAGGGGTCGTGACCCACAGGTTGAGAACCGCTGCAACTGCTCTAGGCAAATACCCAGAAAACAATTCTTCCAGGAACAACTGGCCACAATTGTTCCATCTGTGTCTCTGATCTTTAAAGTCCAAAATCGCAAATGAACGTAAGGTTACCTAATTTTACTAAGAACAAGCCCTAGATTGGTGCTAATGCCAAATGACTGGCCTCCGCTTGTACCCAAGCCTCCATCTTCTCTTGCCCTCTCATCAGCGTTTAACTTCTGAAGAAGACAAGAGATGCTAAAACCTTCAATTCCAATGAAGCCATATGACCAGTTGCTCATAGTTCCCAGACTGAGCATTAAAACATAGTTCATGTGCATTACCTTCCAGGTATCTATGAGTAGCTGGTAAAGTTATGAAGATTTAACTTTACAGGTAAAATGTAAATAACTTACTTGTTTCTTTGAAATCTGGGGCTTCACCTTTGGAATTTCAGAGTGTGCTAAAATTTCAGTGTGCTCAGAGGTCTCTTTTTGCAAGATAAATATTATTAAGTAACTTATTTATAAAAGTATTACAATAATTTTAAATTTGAATTTTATTGCTAATTTAACTTACAAAGATTTTTCTATGCATCAAATGTAACTTTCTGCTACTAAACTTAATATTTACTCTGTAACCTAATGAAGTATATTTAAAATATACTGAATATTTGATATTATTATATCTTGACAAAATTATAATATTGTAATGTACTGTAATTATAGCTAAAATATTTTATGATATTGTCTAATAATAAAAGTTGAAAAAATTACATCTGGTCTTATTTTTTTCAAAATGAAAATAAATTTATTTTTTTATTGTAAAAGGTGTGATCAAAATAGGATGAATGTTTCAATAAAAAAAATTATTACAGCAAAAGACACATTGCCATTAATCCCCCTCAAAATACTCCCCCTCTCCTTGAACACACTTATCCCATTGTTCTTGCCACTTTCTGAAGCAGTTTTGGAAGTCCTCTTTCACGAGTGTCTTTAGTTACACTGTCGTGGTTGTGCTGATGTCCAGAATCGATTCAAAACATTTTTCAAAACATTTACCTTTCATGGTCATTTTGACTTTGGGGAAGAGCCAGAAGTCGCACGGTGCCAGAAATGGTGAATAGGTGGATGAGGGCACAACATGTTTTTATTTGACAAGAATTGCTGTACCAGAAATTATGTGTAACACGGAGCGTTGTCATGATGGAGCATGAAACCATTTGCCCACTTTTCAGGTCGTTTTCTATACACATCATTTCTTAAATGCTCTAATAAGCCCTTATAATATTCAGAGTTCACCGTAGTGTTCCTGGGTACAAACTCGGCTCACACAATTCCATCGAAGTAAAAAAACATAATTAACATCACCTTGATGTTAAAACTTAATTGACTGCGCTTTTTTCACACGATAACTTTCCATTCAGAACTCTGAATTTCATCTCCCGTGATGACATGTCTTAAAAAGCTGGACTCTGAAGTGGCCCAATCACATAACTCCAACAAAATTAACAAATGCTGTTGCTTTTGTTTGACAGTGAAAACACATGAACAAAATTCAGACTCACTCGCTAATGTTCAAATCTGTTGTTAAAATGCTTTGAACGAAACCATAAGAGATGTTCAGATCCTGAGAAATTTCCCTAATAGCTAATCGCCTGTTTGATTGAATCATTTCGTTTTATATTTCAACATTCTCTTGGGTTTCTGATGTTGAAGGACGTCCCGATCTCTCGTTTTCAAATGATTCACAACCATTATGAAATTGCTCAAACCACTTGTAAACTGTCTTCATGGTCACTGCAGCATCACCATAACTTAATGTTAATATTTCATTTTAATGCGTGGTTTGTGACCTATGATTTAAAGCACACTTTAAAACACACCTTCTGTCAATCGTAGCTCCCACCCGACTGAGTGCACCAAACAAGTTGATACTTGTCACACACTGTTACTAAGGTTTGATGGGCCGTTTCCTGTAATGAAGATAGATCCCTGCCTTTCTGTTGGATGGCACTCGGCAGCAGCATTCATCACATTTTTTTACCACACCTCGTATGTTCACTATAAAATAGACAATACAGAAGTTATGAAGAATACAAAAGTCATGCTCTAACACTCCACCCCCACCCCAAGATAATTAAGGTATATACCTTTATTATACATATATATACATATATAATATACATTCCAGACTTTTTTCCTGTAAATAAATTTTGAAACAACAAGGCTATAAAAACATGATATTTTGAAACCAAATGTTTTTTAAGCTTAACACACTATGGACATATTTTCATATCAATAGATAAGAACTAATCATCATTTGTGTGGATTTACTACCTAAGTCAATGAATCCCCAATTGATAATTTAGTTTTATTATGCACATATTATACATATTTCATTTTATATTTGTCCAATTATTTCCTCAGAATAAACCTCTCAAAGGAAAATTGTAGAATCGAAGTACTCACAATCTTAAGATATATACAGTAAAACCTTGGTTTGCAAGCATAATTCGTTTCAGAAACATGCTTGTAATCCAAAGCACTTGTATATCACAGCGAATTTCCCCACAGAAATAATGGAAATTCAGATGATTTGTTCCACAACCCAAAAATATTCATACAAAAATGATTACAATACTGTATCATAATACAAAATAATAGAGAAAATACAAACTATAAAGACAAATAAACAAATTAACCGGCACTTACCTTTGAACACCTTCGTAGCTGGTGTGAGGGAGATGAGAGAGGAGGGTTATCGTGTAGGACGACTCTCACTGTCACTAACAGAATCTTTGCTATCTATGGGCTCAATGGAATCTTTTTCTTTTCGTGCTACTTTCACAAGGATCCTATCCAATGATGCTTGCTTTTCCCTCCTTTTAAGGATTTCGCGGAAATGTGACATTGCATTTTCGTTAAACAGATTCATCGCTCGCACTGCTGCAGCCTTATTCGGGTGATGCTTTTCTACAAAATTTTGCACTGTTTCCCACATTTTACACACCTCCCTAATCTTATATGAAGTGAGGGATTCCTCCACCTTCTCCTCCTCCTCCTCCTCTGCAGACGAGATCTCCATAACCTCTTGCTGTTGCTCGTGAGGCAGATCCATCAGTTGGTCGGTGGTCGGCTCCTGGCCATGTTCCTCCACCAGCTCTTGAATGTCGTCCTCATTCACCTCCAGCCCCATGGTCTTCCCCAAGGACACAATTTCATCAACAACTAGCGGCTCCTGTTCATGAGCAAGCCCCTCCAAGTCATGTCCAAGAACGCAATCAGGCCACAGTTTGCTCCAAGCAGAATTGAGGGTTCTCTTGGTGACCCCATCCCAGGCTTTATCAATGATCTTGAGGCAGTTCACAATGTGGAAATGATTTTTCCAAAACTCTCGGAGGGTAAGGTTTGTTCCTTCGCTCACCTCAAAGCATCGCTGAAATAGTGCTTTGGTGTAAAGCTTTTTAAAGTTCGAAATGACCTGCTGATCCATGGGCTGCAGGATTGGAGTGGTGTTGGGGGGAAGGAACTTGACCTGAATGAACTCAAATTCCTCCAGTAAGTCGTCCTCAAAGCCTGGAGGATGAGCAGGAGCATTATCCATAACCAGCAAGGCTTTCAGTGGCAGATTCTTTTCTAAAAGGTATTTCTTCACTGCAGGACCGAAGACCTCGTTGATCCACTCAACGAACAAGATACGAGTGACCCAAGCCTTGCTGTTGGACCTCCACATAACGTTTAACTGGCTCTTCTGCACCTTGCATTTCTTGAAGGCTCGTGGATTCTCGGAATGATACACAAGCAGGGGCTTGACTTTGAAATCCCCGCTTGCATTAGCACAAAACAAGAGGGTGAGACGGTCATTCATGGGCTTGTGGCCGGGCACTGCATTCTCTTCTTCTGTACTGTAGGTCCTCTTTGGCACCTTTTTCCAAAAAAGCCCCGTCTCATTGCAGTTAAAAACTTGCTCCGGCAGGTAACACTCAGAAACCATGAGCTTCTGGAACTCGATAGCGAACGCCTCAGCTGCCTTAGCATCTGAACTCACAGCCTCTCCATGCCGTACACTATGGATGCCACTTCTCCTTTTAAAGTTATCAAACCATCCCCTGCTTGCCTTGAAGCCTTCTTCCTTTTCTGTTGACGTACCTGGCAGTTTACTTACAAGGTCGGTGTACAAGGCCTTTGCCTTCTCACAGATCAAGTTCTCAGTCACAGTATCACCTGCTAGTTGCTTCTCATTTATCCAAACCAGAAGCAACTTTTCTACATCTTCCAGAACACGTGGCCGTTGCTTTGATATTCTCATGACTCCTTTTGCTGCATCTAGCCCCCTTATTTCTTCTTTCTTCTTTAATATTGTGCAAATGGTCGACGTAGGCTTCTTATAAAATCTTGCAATTTCAGCCACTCGCATACCTCGTTCGTACTTTTCGATGATTTCCTTCTTAACTTCCACCATAATCATTTCCTTCTTCTTACCGCCTTTCTTTTCAACCTCTTTATGCAGGGGCGCCATTGTATACACTCGCATGGATGTTGACTATAGCACAGTATTAATAAACTCTTGCCATATACTGTATTTAATGTAACTGGCAATAAGGCAGCAGAGAAAAGGGTCTATATCGGCAGGCAGCCTGACCTAAAATGAAGCAAAGCATTCCTAAGCTTACTCTTGTATGGAAAAGCAAAGGACTGTCCATAGGTGCTTTGACATGCCAAAAAATACGCTAGTGCCAATTGTGGGCACCTTCCAACGTTCTGAAAAATCACTGATTTCTGCCAAACACCACAGCCTGAGACCAAGCATCTGAGGATGGGGACAGTCACCCACAATCCCGCAGCGAGAGAGAGAGAAGAGTCATTGGCTCAGTTGTGATCATGTGACGTTCGGCATCACGTACTACTTGTATTGCAAGACATCGCTCATTTATCAAGTTTAAATTTATTAGAAATCTTTGCTCATCTTGCAGAACACTCACAGGACAAGTTACTCACAATCCAAGGTTTTACTGTATATACACTCTCTCACTCTCTTTCTCTCTCTCTCTCTCTCTCTCTCTCTCTCTCTCTCTCTCTNTCTCTCTCTCTCTCTCTCTCTCTCTCTCTCTCTCTCTCTTTCTCTCTCTCTCTCTCTCACTAGGAAGGTTTTTAGTATTTCCAGCTGCATCAACAATGTAACAAAAACACCCATCACCTCATGCTTTTCTAGATATAGCTGTTCTTTTACAATTTTGCCTATCTCCTTTTAATTTACATTTGGTCATCATCAGTGAGGCTGAACATTGTCATTTTAATTAGTTTTTTCGATTAGCATTTTTCATTAGGGCTTATTTTTGTTTTCCTGTGAAGAGCCTAATCACATCTTTGCTCATTTTCTATTGAGGTGTTTAAGGCATTTTCACAAATCAGTAAGAAAAGGTATAGATTATAGAAATTGTGGGTCATATATTTTGATAAAATATTTCGCATTTATAATACAAACACTCCTCATTCAAGGAAAAATGTTCATAAAATTTCAAATGTAGAGAACTGGTAAAGAACACTTTTAATAAACTAAATATGAAATCTCAAATTAAGGAACTTACAAGCTGTGTTGAATGGCAATAAAGATGTAATCAAAGGAAGAAACAGAATGAACAGTGATCCTAGGTACTAATTCTAAAAAGACCACCAAAACTGTTGCTCAAATAAATATTTTAGAACCATTCTCATAATTGGGTCAAAAAATCTAGTTTGAAAACATTTTGAATTTAAAAATGTACTAATCCATTTTAATGAGCTTAATTTTACTGCTGGCAAGTAGAAGGAATGCTGTGTTCGAGCTTGTGCTCTCTCCCTCCATAAGCCTGTTTGGAAGGAAAATCTTGATCAGTCTCTAATGGATTCTTAGCAACCTATTGACAGGGCAAAAGAAGAACCAATTCACCTCACTCTAATCCCAGCTCTGTCTACTAGAAACTAAGAGACAACCAAACACAGAGGAAAAAATAAGTGATTTGTTATAATCAGGCCGAATTCAAAGCTTCATATAAATATGACCCTTTTTAGGTTTTTGTAGGCTCTATGGTGTTTCTAAAAATGCTGACATTGCTCAAAAACTTTTTAGAACTGTTGTTTTGGAATTATCTTCAATTCCAATTTATCAGCCAATGAAGGAAATAAATCTCATTATTTTATACCCAAGATTTATAATATGCTCAATATGCTTGACACCACAGTAGATAAACAGATGAGTGAGATACAGACCTTGGTCTCAAACACAGAACTTATAATCTGGTAGGAGAAAATAAGGCAAATACATAGATAATTATAATATTGGACAGAATGTGATAAGAGCTATAAGAGATGACATATATTGGTTCAAAAGTTGGAGGCCTCAGGAAAAAATTCATAAAAGATGGGATACTTTGGGTGGTCCATTAAGGGCAGTTAAGATTTCAAAAATCAGGTGGTCAGAAGCAGGATGACATTGCAGGTGGCAGGAACAGCACGCATAAAGGTAAACTGTTAGAAAAGCATGATACAATCTCGGAGAACATGTTCAAGAATGTATATATACATATGTATCATTCGTGTGTGTGTGTATCATTCATATATCATACACACACACAGATAAATAAAGTGGCACAGTAGGAGGTTAAGGCCATATTAGGTAGGGTTTAGAATAGAATACCAGGTTAAACTTGCATTACATTGGTTGCTGCAAGAGATCCAGTGAAGACTTTGAGCAAAAGAGTAGAATGATCATTTAAAAGGTAACCTAAGGGCCGGCCGAGTGGCGCGATGGTTAAGAACTCGCTTGGGATGCCACAGGGCCCAGGTTCGGATCCCACATATGAGGGCCAGTGACACTGCCCTCTACAGCTAAGATGCTGAACAACAGCTCAACCTGGAGCTGGGCTGCCGT